CTACCCCTGCTTGGGGCCTGCGGTGCTACACTGTATGACTGATGTGGATACACACAGAATGTGTATTTAAAACTCAGTAACTCAAGTCCAAGTGCTCCAGGAAAAACATGACTCTGCACTGTCGCAGCTACGAAATTGAAGATAATAGTTTTCCTTTTCTTTCCCTTTAGTCCTTCTGCAAACAAGCTTGAGAGGAAAAATGTCCCTTATCAGAAGTCAGAGGAGGTAAATAGCAGAGCAGGTGGTAGAGAGGGGCCTCTGTGATGGAGCCTGCTGCTGAGGGAGCGCTCAACTTGGGCTGGGATGAGAGGGTCTGTTCACCTCCATACCCACCGCTATGGAGCCCGCACCAGCACAAGAGCTGTACTTAGGAAGTTTTTCAGGAAGCAGCCCTGCTTTATTGAATTGAGGGGAAAAAACCCAAGCCAGAGCATTCAGACTTACACACTGCAGCAGTGTGTGGTGTTCTTCTGAAACCACTGCCCAATTCTCACTTTGCTTTCCAGCTTTTACTCACTGTCAGGGTTATGTTTCTGGGTGTTTTCCACCAGTGACAGGAACTGCTCTCTCTCTCTCTTCTGTGACCTGGGGATGCTGTAAGTTATCGGCCCCTTTTCTTCCCCAAAAGGAAGAAAGCTGGCCATCAGCAGAACTGACTCCTGCAACATCATCGTAAAAATGAAACTCTGAACGCACGTGCACGTCGGTCACTGCAGGTCTCTCCAGGGGCTGGGAGGAAGAGGGTGGGTTAAGCCACACGGGGAGCTTCCCTCTGCTGGTCTGGCCTCAGCCTCACCAGGCAAAGGTGGAAAGAGAAGAGTTGCACTTCTGAGGAACCTGGTTCAGGTTTCCCAGGGTTGGTGGGGAGTGACTCAGGACAGCACGGACTCTGGCTGGCTGCTTGCTACTGCCTCTGCAGCAGAGGAGAGAGGGCGTTTGCTCCTCAGCTGCTGCAGTTCACGTTATGATGGTGTCCAAGGCTGCCGAGGATGAAAAGAGTATTGTCATTTTTGCTGCCCTGGTGCAGGGCAAGAAACCTTTGTCAAAAGGAGGGGACAGCTATTGGGAGTAGTATCATATGCTGGAGACTCAGAGTCTTGTGGTCACCAGCACTGGTACCTGTGAGTATATTCTGTGGAGTGAGCGGCAGAACTGTTGGGAGAAAAGCTTTTAGCTCTTTTTATGTCTTTTTTTTGTGTGTATTGTGTGAGTGTAGTGTCTTACAGCACTGTCCTCTGCTGGGAACGCATCTCTCAAGTCTGTAGTTAAGTATTGTTTGCAGCTTCACAGCTTGTCTCTGTGGTTCATTCCATGGCTTTCTAGTTCTTGTAATTAAATGTAGTGTGAGTACTGATTGCGAGGGAGCTGCCGATGTGCTTGAATACATTATTATTACTGGCATTGCCTTCACTGGTGAAGATGAAAGTGAATCCCTTTCCCCTGATTACGTTCTCTCCCATCTATTACCTTTGCTCCTTCTGTCATCTCTCTCGGCGCGAGCCCGTGACGCAGCACGGCAGCCTCCTGGGTAATGGTGGTTACGCCGAGCTGCTGCGAGATCAACGGGCTCCTTTTCCTCTTCGGGGGGGAGTCAGAGAGCAGAAAAGGAGCTTCAGGGTGTATTTGCGCTCTTTTTCTTTCTTTTTTTTTTTTTTTATCCCTCCTCCAGTCCTTGCCCATAATGCCAAACCTCTGCAGCAGTTCCAAAAGGACTTCCTGGTGCTGTGGAAACTTTCCCTGCATAATGAAGAAAGGGTAAGGAGAAAGGAGAGGGAAACTGCTCTTTTTTTCTGCACTCGGCTGTCAGAGGGAGACTGGCTGTTTGGATTTGAACCTGAACAAAAATGATTTTTTTTTTTTTTTTTTTTACTTCTGGTGGTGAGTGAAGGATCAGACTTCTATTTCCTGAAGTGATCTGTTGTGAGTGGAGCTGTGGTAATTTCTTTAAACTATTAATTCAAAGCTGCTGTGCACTGAAAAGGTCTTTTGTGCAAAATAGTTTTGGATCTAGCAGTTTATTTTAACCAAAGGTCTTTGAAACAGCCGCCCAGAAATTATACTACTGTGTATACTACTACTCTGCACAGATGCCCTTGTGCCAGTTTAAAACACCTATTTTCTTGTGGAATAGATGAGGTTTGGATTTCCATATCCTCACTTCCAACTTGCTGCTTAACAGTGTCTTGAGCACGTGAGGTGCTAAGGAATAATTCATTTCAGATCAAGAAGCTGTAATACTGACTAAGCCATCAGCCAGCTTGTGCTGCTTGTGTCACTGAAAATCAAGAATTTTTACTATGGTGAGAAACTTATTGAAAAATATGGAAATAAAAGTGCAGTAAATGTTGGTTTGTGTTTTTTTTTTTTTTAAATTTGCAACCTAAATACCTCGTTACAGCGTTGTGAATTCAGTGACTGGGCTCCTGCAGGGAATTAGTATGGGCTTGGAGGGCCAAGCCTGTTCTTGTCCAGTTTCAGCTGCAGGTTAGCTGTTGTTTACCCTTCTGTCCTGCTCTTGCTACTATCCTGCAGCTCAAAGAACTGCACAGATGGAGGAAATAATAGAGTTTACTTTATAAAAATACAAAATGGCTGCTCCTGATGTTGCTTTCTTCACATACTATATCGTTTTGGTGTTAAAGTTAGTGATATGCTCCTTTATCTAGCCATCTGATTATATTTCTTTGTTCAAAGGGAGGAGTGCTTTCTTTTAAACGACTAGTCCCTTTCAGATAGCTAAGGACCCTATATCCTACTCTTGAGATTTGATTAGAGTAAGTGAAATGGATTATGGTCCCCTGTGCTGCCGTCATTCCAAGCACAACTTCAACAGGACCCTTGAGTACCCTCTATCTGACTTGGTGGGTCAGTCCAGAAATTTGTACACCTCAAACTGGTGGCACGCACTTTATACAAACAATATGTATTGTTAGAAAAGCAATTGGAATTAAAATCCCTGTGGGTAGGCTGCTCAGACCTGCTGCTAGCTTGCAGGGTTCTTAATTTTTTCCCCATATTGCAGTGTAGAGAGACTGGAAAATACAAAAGATCCTGCCGATAACTTGCAACATCTGAAAGAGCAATCAGTAAGTGAGTTTGGAGGACTGCTGGAGGATGGGAATTGCAGTCCGAGTCACAACCGCATCCCTGCAGACACGTTCTGGTGTTGCAGGTCTATGTATCGCTCCCCCATCGGGCGCAGGGCTCGAAGGCAGGTTTGTGTGGGAGGGTGCTGTGTGGCTTCACCGAGGTTCCCCATCAGCCTCCAAGTGGAGACCCAGCACAATGATCAGGAACGACAATCCAGTGGGTTTTAGTTCTGCTGCTAAGACCATGTTGTGCAAGATGCATGTGTCGTGCTGAGCTGTTGTATAGCACAGTATTTGTACTTTGGAAATAAGGAGTGATAATTGGGATTGGATGATTTCGACTCTTTTGAACGTCACTGATAACATTATATGCTTTTGAGACAGAATCTTCATGGTTGGAAATGACCTCTGAGATCACTGAGTCCAACCATACACACATAAAAGGCCTCCACAATCTCGGGCACTAGAGCATGCCCTGAAGAGCCACGTCTACACGTTTCTTAAATCCCTCCAGGGATGGTGACTCCACCACCTCCCTGGGCAGGCCGTTCCAGTGCCTGACCACCCTCTCAGCAAAGTAATTCTTCCTGGTATCTAATCTAAACCTCCCCTGCCCCAACTTCAGACAATTTCTTCTGCTCCTGTCATTATTCCATTGGGAGAAGAGGCCTAACCCCCACCTCTCTACACCCTCCTTTCAGGGAGTTGTAGAAGGCGATGAGGTCTCCCCTTGGTCTCTTCTTCTCCAAACTAAGCATGCCCAGTTCCCTCAGCCTCTTCTCCTATGACTTGTTCTCCAGATCCCTCACCAGCTTGGTGGCTCTCCTCTGGACATGATTGCTCCAGTGGTGTGGCTGGGACTGAGTCCTGCTTTGGGACTAAGATGGGCAGCTGGTAGATGCCAGTAGGCCATTCATTTTCCAAACTGTTGTGAGAGGAGGCGGAGGTCAGCACAGAGGAGATGGGTTGCCTCCTGTTCCAAAGAGGTAGCTCATCATTTCAGCATGTGGAGGAATGAGGGGCATGTTTGTTTTTCACCAACTCATTTCTGTGAATTTTTTTCTGTACTATTTACTCTGGAGCAGAGAGGCTGCCAGTTTCTTGGTGATCAGAGAAAAATCTTTGGGATATTATGGGGAGGAAGGAAAGGCCAGTGCAGGTTTTCTGGAATGTGTCATGTAGATGCTTTATTGTGCTGTGGTTTTAGCTTTAGCAGCTATCTGTTCATGCTCTCTCTCATGTTTTTGTTAAGGACTGGAAGAGGATTGTGATGATAGCATATATTCTTTTTACAAATGTGGTGAAGCAAAGCAAGTCCTCATCCAGAAATGGACCTCACCTGGTGAATCATAGTCCTGTGTTCTTTAATATAGGCTGCATAATTTGGGTAGAGATATTCTTAGTACCACTTAATCTGGACAGTCTGCTGAATTACGACTTCTAAACATAAACTATTTTTTTTTTCTTCAAGATCTTGTCTGATAAATGACAAGAAGGGAAGCACCTAAGGCTTTTAAAGGTGTTTGATTCTAGAGTGTGAAGCTCTTTGGGCAAGAGCTACCCCTGAAAGATGTTGTACGCGCGCCCTTACATGTCCGATCCTTTTTTGGGTACGCAACCTTTGTGTGAAGAGGTAGTGAATCAGATCTGGGAATTGGTTCCCATTACAAGTGACTGTTCTTCTTGACTGGGTTAGTTTTATCACTGGAAAAGTTTGTTGTTCTGTCCCACAACTGCTGCTGCAGGCATGAGTGAATGGGTTCCTTTGCGGAGCCATCAGTGTCTGCCAGTGTGGTGCTTGCTCCTCAGAATTGGATTCACACCGCCTTCCCTTCTTGGCCAACAAAAGAAATGCTACATTTATGTCTTTTATGCTCTCTTCCTATGTTAAAACAAATATTTCTCTTTCAGTGCTTTCACTAGCTATTGAGAACCATGTCTGGCCACGGAATAGTGGAAGACAAGCCACCAGCTCCTCCCGTCCGGATGAGCAGTACTATCTTCAGCTCAGGGGGCAAAGACCCGTTGTCTGCCAACCACAGCTTGAAACCCCTGCCCTCTGTACCAGAAGAGAGAAAACCTAGGAATAAAATCATCTCCATATTCTCTAACACTGAAAAAGGTAAGATGCTTCTTGTTTTCCGAGGTTACTCATTATATTCCTTTATTCTTCTTGTAAGTTTTGGTAGCGCTTTAAACGTTTGAGTCCAGCCTGCCCAAGTGTAGAGGATGTGAGGAAGTGCTGAAAGTTGGATATATGTGTTCAATGAGCTGAGATCTTTTTCTCTTTGCACTGGGATGTGTGAAGGTGAAATGCTAAGTAAAAAAAATTAAATAGCTCATTGAGAAAAGAACGACCACCTATTGCTTCTCATCTCTGCTGCCCGCTTTGAAGTGGGCAGAGATGAGAAGCAATAGGTGGTGGTTCATCATCATCTTCTCATCTGGCTTCTCATCTTTGCTGCCCACATTTCCAAACAACCCTAACAAATATTTGTGATTCCTGGGTATCGTATTACTTACCGTTGTATGCAGATTTCTAGTTTAAACTGAGCATCCGGTTGTTCTGGATGTTACTTTGTGTTGACCATTTCTGTGGTATTTGAAGGAAAAAAATCAAACAACATAGTGAAGAAATGGTGGGGAGGGTGCAGTGTGAATGAAGAATTGAGGAAAAATTAAGTCCTTCTGTCTATGTAACTGCACTGTTAGGATTAATCACTAGTGGGGGAAAAAACCTGGATTGCTGTAAACGAGGATTATTTCTGAGAAAAAATTGCTGTAATGGAACTGGATTATATTTGTGCTTTGTCTCTGTCCTCTTTTCTGTACGATGAATGTATGTCCAGCGCTGGAGCCCTGATCTGGGTTCTCCAGGATGCTTTTATCCCTGTACAACAAAACGGTGTGTAGATATAAATACATTCTAACATCTGCTATGGTAAAACTGCGCAGGGATTTATGACCTGAAACTGCTGTGCATTTTGTTAATCTCTACCAGCTAGCATTTTTGTGATTACTATTAAGATGTGTAAGGGGAAGACCCTGCTGCTCTTAATGTCCTCTCTTCCTGCTGGTAGCTGGTGTGCTGGGCAGGACTGGTTCAGTTGTGCTGGCCCAGGTTGGATTGTTTTAAGAGACTTTGCTCCTCTGGTTATTTATTTGCTTGGCGAAGCGTTTTCCCCAGGGCTGTTTTTCAGCCTTGCTGGGTTGTGTGAGTGGTCCCTCTGCAGCCACCCCTCACCCTGGGGACACACGCTAGAGGCAGGATTCCCGGCATTCCCAATATCTGGCTTTCCATGATCTGGCGGAGCTTCTGCTCTGAATGGTGGGCGTGTTTTCCTTTTCAGAGGATGGAAAGATTTGGCCAGTGTAGCTTTTGGAAGCAGAATAGTTATTTCACAAGGTCACTTGTTGTGAAATAACTGTCCGCGGCTGGATTACAGCAACAGAAGTGGGGAGTCTCTCTTCCTGGCGCGAGTAAGAGCCTTAAGGAGGTAAGGAGAACATGAGAAGCTACAGGTTGGTGGCAGCACCCTGAGAGAGTGACTCTAGGCCTCTGAGGTTGGTGAAGGTGCTGAATCTGGGTGCCTTCAGCAGTGCCACCTATTTAGGGAAGGTTCTAGTTTAGCCTTTAAATACTGCAGAAACTGGTGTTTTAACATTATATGGTTGGATGTGGGAGGAAATGCCTAGAAATTGTCGCGGTGAGCGCTGCAAGAAAATCTGGTTGGAAGGATCAAATCTGTCCATCTTCAGACTAGGAGAATGGTTTAGGAACTGGGATGGCACCACTTGTTGTTATGCTGTTGTGTTAATTGCTCATCAGAGCATTTGTGGCCCTTTTTTGCAGAGAGATAGTGAAGTAGAACATAAACCCCACATGAAGGAGGATCTTCCTTGCTCTGCATTAGTGACGCTGTGTTAAGGCTTGCTTGTGTTGTGAAATGAATTATGAATGCAAATGGGTGCAGTGCAGCTGGGCAGCTTTGTAATGGTTCATAGCGTCTTCACTTCTCCTTGGATGTTTCCTCTTTCCATCTTGACTGTGGATTCATTGCTGAAATAGCTGAGGAGGTGGTTGAAGGCTTGTCTAAAGTTGTATTGGCTCATCCGAAATTGCTTTGGTGTCCCACTACTTAAGCTTATTCAGACCCCTCTGTAAATACTGATGTGTACAAAAACTATTAGAATTAATCTATGTAATTGTTTAGCATGTGTCTGCGTACCTACTGGTATTTGGTGATGAAAACCAAAAATAATAAGAAGAAATAATTTCTGCTGAGAAAAATAAAGTCCAGAGAAAACGGTGTCCGTTTATGTTTTTTAGATGCAAAAAAGTATTTAAAGTGATGTCCTGCTGAAGAAAAGCAGAAGGTTTTACTGCATGGCAAGATAACGTGGTTAGGAAAAACAATAAGCAAATTCTCTAGCTTAAAGAAACTATCCAAAAGTTGTCTTTTTTTTTTAATTTGGAAAAAAACTTGTTGATTGGTTGACCTGCAGCAAGAATAATGTAAACAACCAACAAAATGGTTTTTGTCCCCCAGACTGCAAAACTGGCTGTCAAATGTAAGCAGAATATAAATGACAATATTAGGATGTTAGTTGTTATATTCATTAGCATGGTTGAGGTGCACCTCACCAGAAATGTCCATTTTAAAAAATTAATTGTTTTTTAAACTCTGCTGCTGAGCAGCTTTACAGAAATACTAACTTCCTGCTTGGATTTTCAAAGTACATTGGGACTGTATGGAAAACAGTCTGTCAGCCTGGGGTAGAAGTTTTTCATGGGAAAAATTTCTCCAGCCAGTGCCAAAGTTACCAAATTACTACAAAAATGGTAAATTCTCCTTTTCAGAAAATGGAGGGATGCCTTTACCAGGAGGTTCACAAGGCTGCTGTGAATACAGCTGTCACTGGGTAATGCTGTCGGGGTCTGTTCAGCAGATCTCTGTCCATATCATCTCCGGATGGTCCCTCCTGGCCAGCTTCATCCTTTCTGTTGCCACAGCTCTGTCCCCGCTGGGTCCTCTCTGGGGGGGGTTCTCTGGCTTAGGAGGTGGTGTTGGGGCCGTGCTGTCCTTTGGGGAACATGCTGCAGACCATGAGGTTTAGCAAATGCAGAGTTTCTGCCCCAAGTCTGAGCTGGTTCTGTGCTGAAGTCATCATAAGAGTTAGAAGGGGTTATTTAATGACCTAGTCATAGAGGGGCTTCCCTGCCCTCCTCCTTTCCCCTTCAGTTTCATTGTTTAGCATAAATGAAGTTATACTCATCTTTTTACTAGAGTATTTAATTGCCATGAATTTCCTTGGCTAGACTTCTGAAGTAAAAAGAACCTGCATGTGTTTTTGGAAGGCTTTAAAATGGTCCCCTAAACCAAGAAATGTTTGTCTTCGAGCAGAACTTATTAAAGGAGTTGCTCTGGGGCATCGCTGTGGGACCCAGGACGGTGCATGTGATGTGCCCAGGGCACATTTTGGTGTGGTTTTGGCCTGGTAACTTGGGGCGTAACATCAGGAGCCACCGATCCACAGGCACCAGGCTGCTGGAAACACCGGAGGTTGGCGGTTGGGAAGCACGGGGTCCCTGGAGATGGGGGTGTGGAGTACCTTGGGTGACGCCTTTCCCGAGTGCCTGTGGCTTCAGTTGAGAAGAGAAGAGTCTAACTGTATTTGAGGCACTTTCTTAATCAGCCAGAGCAATTCAGAATCCTTTTGAAGGACCTGCGTCTTCAGAAGGGGGCCTGGATGCTGCTATCTCTGTGGGGCCGAGTCTGTGTCTTAGATTCATTTGCTGTTGGAAACCAGCTTTGCCCTTTGCTGAAGGGGTTCCTGTTTAAATACCGAGCCGTGGTGCACACCTGATGGTGGTGGAAAAGCAGCGTGGCCCCACGGTGGCCTTGTTCACAGAGCATAGAGAACCTCCTGCCAACAGATGACTCATGGGACTTGCCTCTTGACCGAAGCTCACTGCTTGCGCTTCTTTGAAGTGCTGCTCCTGAGGGCAGAGAAGGAATTTTTTTTCATCTTGCCTACCCTACTAACGAGATGTGTGTATTTTTGGAAGAAGTGGGTTTATTTGTGCATCAGCACATGCTGGAGGTTTGAGCACCAGCCTCTCTTCTCCCTTCACGTCAAGTGCTCCCGAACAGGAACCTTCCTGAGGAATATAAGTTGTTTTTTTTTCCCCCCCACCCCGCTCTCTTGCTTTCCCATAAACAACTGCAAGAGATTGGGAAGAAACAGTACTTTCCTTAAAGATTTTCGCATAAGCAAGTTTCTCCTGTCCTGTGACCGAACAATGTTAATGAGAACATTTGACAGTCCGCTTGCTTTTTTGGCTCTGACCTCTGCAGCCATATTAAAGATATCCTGTTTATAATAGCCGTGTCTTTCCACTGCATTGTTCAGCTGGAGGCAGCCCACATGGCTTTTCGTTTGTAAGTATTGTCCTCGGCTCCCCGTCCTTCCTCTCCGCCAGCGCGAGGGGATTTCAGACGGATCCTCTGGCCCTGAGCAGCACTATCTCCACTTACCCCATGTTCTTTTTCTCTACTCAAACTACATGACTTGAAGTGAATTTAAAAACAAAGAAACAAAAGCAAAAAACCCTTTTTTTTTTTTTTTTTTTTTTTTTAAAAAAAAAAAAAAAAAAAAAAAAAAAAAAAAAAAAAAAAAAAAAAAAAAGTTCTAGGAAAAATATTAAACCCAAAACAAAAAACCCTTTTTTTTTTTTTTTTTTTTGGACATAAAATGGTAATGGGGTTAGATGGCAAAATGGTGTGCTGCTTTCCTTGGTGGTGATGAGCACTGGGGTGTTCTTCAGAATCACAGAATCTTTATGGTTGGAAGGGACCTTTGAGATTGAGTCCAACCATACACACACACACAGAAAAAAAAACAAAACGAAAAAAACACAAAAAACACCCAACCCAACAATCTCAGGCACTAGAGCATGCCCTGAAGAGCCATGTCTACATGTTTCTTAAATACCTCCAGGAATGGTGACTCCACCACCTCCCTGGGCAGGCTGTTCCAGTGCCTGACCACCCTCTCAGTAACTTAATTCTTCCTGATATCTAATCTAAACCTCCCCTGCCCCAACTTCAGACCATTTCCTCTGCTCCTGTCATTATTCACTTGGGAGAAGAGGCCAACCCCCACCTCTCTACACCCTCCTTTCAGGGAGTAGTAGAGGGCAATGAGGTCTCCCCTCAGCCTTCTCTTCTCCAAACTAAGCATGCCCAGCTCCCTCAGCCTCTCCTCGTATGACTTCTTCTCCAGACCCCTCACCAGCTCCGTTGCCCTTCTCTGGACCTGCTCCAGCCCCTCAATGTCTTTTTTTGTGGTGAGGGGCCCAAAACTGGACACAGTACTCGAGGTGAGGCCTCACCAGTGCCCAGTCCAGAGGCACCATCACTGCCTTACTCCTGCTGGCCACGCTGGTCCTGACACAGGCCAGGATGCTGGTGGCCACCTGGGCACGCTGCTGGCTCCTGTTCAGCCAGCTGTCCACCAACACCCCCAGGTCCTTTTCTGCTGGGCAGCTCCAGCCACCCTGCCCCCAGCCTGTAGCACTGCCTGGGGTTGTGTTCTTGCTGCCTTTGTGCACACTGTAATAAATGCAGCTGATTCAGCTCTGTGAGCCCAGGGACCGTCCCAGGATTACACACGGGGTTCTCTCGGTATCAGGTTGGCCACGCTTTGTGGCCCTGCCTTTCAGCAGAGGGACAGGAGTTCAGGCCTTGAGCATCGTCTCTCTACCTGGAGAGTTTCTACCTTACTTTTTTGCAAGAACAAGAGAACAGGTTCCTGAACCCTCCCAACTTTACTCCCAGCCTTTTCTGAGTAAAGGGAACAGAATGGTGTATTTTATATTTCAAGGTAATAACAAATTGTCTTCCATTTTAATTATTTTCTCTTTGTCCAAAAAAACCCCAAAAACAACAACAAACAAAATCAAATCCCCCAAGCCCCAGGCATTGTAAAACATCTTATAAATATAATTCAACTTAGGCAGGATTGTGCACATGGTCCTTCTCATTACATGTTCCTGCTTCTGGTACTTATTATGCTTGCTTTCTTTTTTTTCCCCTCTTTTAATTTACATTAGGTAATTGTTCTGCGGCTATGAACTCTTATCTTCATCACAGGAAGTCCTAGTTTGCATTAATTACCTTGAATTGAAGCAGTGAGGCAACTGAGTTTTAACTGTCTTTAGGGTGAACTTGAGGTTGAGCTGAAGTTGTCTTTGGGATTGTTCTTAATCCTTATTAAAATGTTCTCTTTTGCATTGTAAACATTTTATGTGTTTAGGTCCCATATGCTCCACAGAGCTCAAGGTGCTCTGAATCCCTTATTTGATTGCTGCTGTAGTTTGAATTATTTGAATGGAAAGAGTTGATGATTCTTAGAAGTCTATACCAACTTGAAAATATCAAACCACTGTGCTGCATGTACAAAGGCCTTCATCCAGTGAACAGAATGATGGTTACATTCATCCTAACTGTTGGAATGTTTGGATTGATTATATTAAGTGGAGATAATAAGACTTTAAACCTTTGCTCAGCAGATCTCTGAATTACTTTTTCAGGAAGCAGGAAGAAGGAAAAAGAAAGGCCAGAAATCTCCCCGCCGTCAGATTTTGAGCACACCATCCACGTTGGCTTCGATGCTGTCACTGGAGAGTTCACTGTAAGTTTACCTGCCCTGAAGCTGCTCAGAACACAGCGGTGGGTCAGCGCTGTAGTGAAGCCCTTGTGGTGTTTTAGAATGAAGTGTGAGCTACTCTGCTCCATTTTGCCAAAGAAATAATTTTGCTGTGTATTTGTACAGTGCGCAGAGTGATGAGACTGACCTGTTAGTGCTTCTGCAGTGTCTATGTCAGATGTGGTGCTTGGTGTCACCTGGGGGGAGCCTTCCCTGGGAAACCCTCTTCAGTTTACTTTCATTAGGGGGTAACACTGGTTCTGTTGAGCACTTGGGGATGTAGGTGGATAAGAAGGTCAACACACCCCAGCAATGTGTCCTGGCAGTCCCGAAAGCCCTCTGCTCCAGCTCTGGGGAGACAAACACCCCCCCCACACACACAGTGCTGCCTCCAGCTCTGGGGCCACCAACAGCAGAAGGACATGGAGCTGCTGGAGTGGGGCCAGAGGAGGCCCCGGAGATGCTGGGAGGGCTGGAGCCCCTCTGCTGGGAGGGGGGGCTGAGGGAGATGGTGGTGTTCAGCCTGGAGAAGAGAAGGCTCCAGGGAGACCTTGGAGCCCCTTCCAGTCCCTCCAGAGGCTCCAGGAGAGATGGGGAGGGACTCTGGATCAGGGAGGGGGCAATGGGAGGAGGGGGAAGGGTTTGACGCTGGAAGAGGGTAGGTTGAGCTGAGATGTGGGGAAGAACTTCTTTGGGGTGAGGGTGGAGAGAGCCTGGCCCAGGTTGGCCAGAGAAGCTGTGGCTGCCCCATCCCTGGAGGGGTTCAAGGCCAGGCTGGAGGGGGCTTGGAGCAACCTGGGCTGGTGGGAGGGGTCCCTGCCCAGGGCAGGGGGGTGGAACTCAATGATCTTTAAGGTCCCTTCCAGTCCAAACCCTTCTATGATTCTATGATTCTTCACATTTTGATACCCCTGGAAGAGGTGGTGTCATGTAGGCACGGGGAGCTGGAGCCCCTGAGTGCTTGAGATACTGAGCTGTCAGGAGGGATTTCAACTGTGGCTTGATGTGTGTTGTATCACCTATGGACATATGGCTCCCCATTAAATCATTCTACTTGTTCATGTGTTTAAGGACGTACATGTTACACATTTTATAAAGAAATTTGTTCACCTTTTTAAAAAAAATCTCTAAAATACTAGAAGGATGCTCAAAATAGCCTATTTTTTTTCAGGGAATGCCAGAGCAATGGGCTCGGTTGCTGCAGACCTCAAATATCACGAAGCTAGAACAGAAGAAGAACCCCCAGGCGGTACTAGATGTGCTGAAATTCTACGATTCCAAAGACACAGCAAAACAGAAGTATCTGAGTTTTTCTGCTCCAGGTGAGATTCCAGTGCGTGCAAGGCATATTGAAGTGGAGTTGGGTATTTGGAACACAGTCTTCCTCTCTTTCAGAATAATAAATCGGATTCAATCGCTGAAAGAGCAAGCTACTTTTCAAGGAGGAACAAATATTTGAAGATGGATTTAAAACTTACTGGAAACTGGCGTTGTCCAGTTTATTTCCTGTTTTAAGTGGAGAGGGGAAGAGATGGAGCTGGATAATTCAGAATAGCAGCCAAAATTAACTTTAACGGTCTGTGTTTATGAAGCTGGGTCTCTGAGACTGTGATGAATTGGTTTTGTGCTGGAGACCTTGCTGCTCTGTCTGTGGCCAAAACAGCTATCTGCAAACTTGATGTCACCATGTGGTGACATCAAAGATGCAAAGTAAGTTGTGGCTCTTAGGTCAGGAGATGGTGGGGTGGGATGACATACAGAGTGTCCTACAAACAGGTGCAGTTTTATCTGGGTTTTTTATGAATGCTTTCTGAAAATAGCTTAGCAATAACTCTGTAAAATTAACTTTTTATTATTGTGCTGATGATTTTATGTATTGTGCTGTTTTTCCTATTTAGAAAAAGATGGTTTCGCTTCAGGAACACCAACGGTGAGTGTATTCACTGTTCTTTGTATCTTCTTAGGCACATACAAGCTCAGGTCTTCTGAATTTGTTATATGCTGAGTCTAGCAGTATAAGATAAATCGAGATTTTTTTTTTGTGGAATAAAAACATAAATTGGGGCATCAACAAAGCATATTTGACTGGAGCGGTAGTATTTTAGAATTTTAATAAAATGTCATAGGGCACTTAACCCACTCAACCAGTCCTTTTCTTTTGACATCAGTAAGAATTCTTTTATCTTGGTGGGGGGGAGCACGTCTTTAACACTGCAGGGGAGACAATTTTGTTTGTTTATTTTTTTACATTTGGTGAACATGTAGACCAATGCCAAAGGTTCAGAGCCATCAACAGCTGTGGTAGATGATGATGAGGATGATGAAGAAGCTCCTCCTCCTGTTATTGCTCCGCGACCAGATCACACAAAATCGGTGAGCAGCTGTAAAGTTTCCAGTGCAGATCAGATTTCTTTGTATTATAGGACTTTTTCTACTTTTGTTCTCTAGCAAAGTTTTATTTGTGAAATGAGCTGTTGTGGTTTTAGGGAAAAGTTCTGGTTTTATTTGAGTTTTATAAGAAAATGCCTAATTTCTGGATATCCACTGGATCAGAAATCCTGAAGTTCATGCTGATTTGCTTGTTGGCCTGTGTTGAAGATACCCAGTTACGCCTGCCTTCAACACAGGATGCCAGGAGGAGGCTTTTTAGTCCTGAAAGAATACAGGTAGTTTCTGTAAGTTTGCACAGTGCAGTGGTACAAGGGTAGTGTGTTTGATTTTCTTTATTTTATTAAATTACAGTGTGATAGCCTCACCAAATGTACTACCTAACCCCAAACCAATTCAAATTTAAGACTTGAAAGCTTATTTCACTCACAAAATCCTCAGCATTGCATGAGAAGTTGAACACTTAACCACTTAAACGACTTAAAAGTAGTTGTTTAAGTTTAGTGGTCCTGAACTACACACCTTGTTAATAATGTCCCAGGGTTCCCACTTACTCCAGGTTATTTTTTTTTGACTGTGGTGGGTGTGCATTTTGCCATTCTGCCCACTTCTTTTTGCTTCAGGAGCACCAATGTGACTTGTGTGTATTTGTCAAGTGATACTGCTTTATAATTGCCCACTCTGGGTATGTAAACATATAAAATGTGGCAGGTCTCCAGTTTGCTATTTCTAGGGTAGCTGTGTATGCCTGTGAGCAGCTCCTGAGGATATTAAAGCTCCAAGAAAATCCCCCAAATTGGGGGTAACTGGGAAATTCCAAAAGTCTCATGCTGAAGCGTGAGTCTTTGTCCTTTAGATCTTGGTTGATCTCGCTGTTAAATAGTGATTTCTGTTCTGTGAAACTTGGAAATTGCAAGGATGAAGTAAATAGATGAAAGAGCCCCTCCTGTTAACTAGCGTGCGTTATGAAGAGTAAGCAAGTAGAAAACCCACTAAACGTTTGTCTGTGAAAGCCTGAGTTAATCTCCTGGCATCCACAATGTCCAGGAGGTGCCCGGGTCGTCGTTTTGGAGGTCAGTGAGGTTGCCAGCATAGGGGTTTACTGTACTTTAACGTTTCTCAGGTCTAATTACTGCCTCCAATCTGTTACGTAAAATGGTGCTTAGGGATGTTTGAAGAACTGTTGTTTGTTTTCAGCTGAAGGTCAGTGATTGCAAAGAAAATGCTCAGGTAAATGGTCTCTCTTAACAGATTTATACACGGTCTGTAATTGACCCCATCCCTGCATCGGCCGGTGACTCTTCTGTTGACAATGCGATGAAACCAGGTGATAAGCAGAAAAAGAAGACCAAAATGTCGGATGAGGAGATCATGGAAAAACTACGTAGGTGGTTTTTTTTTTTATTTAGATAAACAAAGGCTTTAGGACCGGGGGAGGGATATTAAGTTTTTGCCCTTATCCTTACTTTTGTATAAGGGTTGTATGAATATTGTGCGTGATGGATTTTGTGTCGGACAGTAGCCGAGAGCACTGCAGTCAGAAGGTTTGCTGATTTATGTGATTCAGAGCCCTACTGGGTAAAAAAAATTGTAGAATGGGGGGTTTTTTGCATTAAAGTTCAATTGTGATAATATATGCATAATACAACTATGATAACACAAAGTAGTTTCTGCTGTTGTTTGTTCCATAATCATCTTAAAGATAGTTTTTCCACTGTACTAATAATGTTCCTGTCCTTAAGTCGAGACCTGGCTAGTTTCAAGCCTAGGCTAAGCTAATGGACTTGTCATAACCTCCTATGGGGTTTTGCTACATAGAAGACTATCATTAAATTGAGAAAGTAATGGGAAATAGCATGATCTGTCTCGTTAAGAGTAAAATCTAGCGTAATGATTGTCTGAGGTGGGGCTATTTGCGACTGGAACTCATCAGGAAGCTTTGTCTATTCACGCATCAGCCTTAGCTCCTTGAGCTGACCCACTCTTGGGCCACCTTGGCCAAGCCAGCCCTGCTGAAGGGGGACAGCAGGACTGATGGGTGCTTTCAGCGTGAGCCGACAGAAGCGGTGTAACGCTGTGCTACAGCAGTAAAGAGCCTTTCCTAAAGCCGTGACTCCTCTCAGATTTTGTGTGAAAATGTTTTGTGTGATGGTGTTTTTTTTTTTAGGCACTATTGTGAGCATAGGAGATCCCAAGAAAAAATACACCAGATATGACAAAATTGGGCAGGGGTAAGTGTTCTCCCCAACTTTTATTCCCAGTGAGCCAGTGTTAAAAGCAGTGCACTGTTCTATTTCTGATGCTGTCGCGTAGCCACCGCTTACTGAAGCAGGCAGAAACGTTGGCTCTATTAAGCAGTGATAAACAGATGGTGAAGGCTTTAGACAGTGGTGGGAAATCTGGAGTTGTGTCTTTTAATGCGAGTGCCACTTCCCTGCGGAGGCATCTAGTCCTCTCCTGCTGAGATGTGACTGCTGAATAGCCCGAGGGCACCTCAGAAGGTTTTCTGTGTGCTACGCTAACAATGCTGCCTTAAACTGAGTTATTCTTCTGGTGATCCTCTGAATCCTTCTTAGGGAAAAAAAAAAAAAAGTATATAGAAAGTTCCGCCTTTTCCAGCTTTTATTATATGTGTGTATGTATATGCCTAATTCCTACTGTATACTTTCTAAATAGGTCTGTGTGAGTTTGGAGGGGGGTGGTTTCCCCTGGGAGAATATGAAGAGTAATAACCTGCTACAGGAAGGGCTGCCCAGCTTACCTGGTGGTGGGGAGCAGCACAAGTTCTGGGGGTGTGGACATCTTGAATGCAGGGGGCATAAGCGTATTTGAGATCAGTTTGTTTTGTGTGAACCAATTGGGATTAGTTTGTTTTGTGTGAACCAACGGGCATTTCTACGATACCGCTTGCTTTTAATAGCCCTTCTTTTCGAGAAAGCTCTTGCAACATTGAGAGCTGACACGATATTTTGTTTGTGATTTGTCTGTTCACGCACGTGTTTGCTACAGAGAGATGCAACTGTCTGTAATGTTTTTTCTTTTTCTTCACAGGGCTTCAGGTACAGTTTTCACAGCTATTGATGTGGCAACAGGGCAGGAGGTAAGATTCCTGTGTTCATTGCAATGAAAATACTTTTTCTGTATAAATGTTCTTCTGTAGGTGGCCAAAATGGTGTGATGAGATTTCTTTCTGTGGCTCCCATCTCTGCTCTCACCTCCCAGAAGGATGTTTGTCATAGTCCTTTGTAACAGTGTGTTCTTTGTTCTGTGGTAATCAGATGATGAAAGCTAAAAATAGAGTTTTGTCTTTCCAATGAAGAGGGAGTGAGGTATTCCAGAAATGGGGTTTGAAGACAGTTTATCCTTCAAGAGTTCTGGGCATGGGAGTCCTGCATCTTCAGAAATAAAACTTTGTTTAGTCTGTGCACACTTGTTCTCTAGTCCCGTCCCAGGAGAGGTGATGGATGTGCCTTATCTGTATGGAAGCAGCTTGTCCCGTGTGATTCTTGGCTGTAGTCAGAATGCCTCCTCCACATCCTGCTCTTGGCTTTTACTCCTCGGTGCCTCCAAACCCACCTGGTGAAGTCCATGACTTCAGCAATACTCTTCATGCTTGTCATCCTGTGGTCATCTCTGGTTCCCAGGACTAAAATTCTAGGAATTATTTGCTTCTCTTTGAATTTATATTTCCTTAATTTTCCTTTAAGCATCCACAGGTAGCCATTCCATAGGTCACTGCCCTTTCAACCAGAACCCCATTTAGCAGTATTGCAGTGGAGCACCTCATCTTGATAAACAGCAAGCTTTTCAATTGTTTTAGTGTGTTGTCTCTTAATTTGCTTTCTACGTATCGCAGTACTTCATGTCCTCTTAGAGACTGCAGACCAAATTTTGTAGCCTGGTTCCTTTCTCAGACCTCCCCTGCGTCTCATCAGGCAGGTGTGCTGATGGGAGCAGTCTCTGTCTTTGGGCCTTAAACAGCTGCAGTGCTGCAGCTTCCTTGGTGCTTAGGTCTGTTCAATGGTAAGAAGTGAAGGCCAAAGGAGGATTTTATTGCCATTTTCAACTCCCTCCATAGGGAATATGGAGCTAGGCTCCTCTTGGAGCTATGCAATGATAGGACAAGAGGTAGCAAGCAAAAATCGCCATAAGTGAAATTCTGGTTAGGTATTAGAAATTGTATTTCCCCTTGCAGTCAGGATGATCAAACGTGGGACAGAGGTTGTGGAATATGTGCTCATTGAGATCTCCATTCAGAATCAGTTGCACAAGACACTCGGCAGCCTGCTCCGTGTTGGCTGTGCTTTAAGCAAGGGATGGGACCAGCCGACCTCCAGAGTCCCCTCTAATCTTAATTATTTTGTGATTCTGTGCCACAAGTTCTCTTCTCTTAATGCCCTTGCCAGTATGGTAGCCATCATTTCTACAGGATTATATTGGTTCTTGCATTTGGTTTTGGACTCATGAGTAGGTTGTTTTGTAAAACTCCAAACAGCCTCCTCAAAGCAGCTAACGTAACTGGGACCGTTCTTCTCCATTTTAAAGACTGGAATACTTGTCCGGGAAATAAGCTAACTGGGATAAGATTGGTCTTTATCTTCCCTTCTCTCTGGGATAGTTCATTGACTTAATTGCTTTGAGCACTTCCTTCTGCCTCCCAGCAGCATTCCTTGTACCCAAACACTACTTTGGTCAGAAGGAATTGCTTTGCCTTGCACTGGAAGGCTAATGCTGTCACTCTTAGTTGCTACAAGGTTCTCTTCTGCTTTAGGCCTGTTGATTTGAAATCAGGTGTGTATCTCTTTATCTCCTGGATATCCTTTGCTGTCTGTTCTGGCCTTTCTTACCATTGTGGATCTTTTCAGCTGCAAGAGGATGATGGTGGCTATGGGTGCCAGTTGTGTGCTTGTCAAGTTGTGTTCTTTTAAGTTGTATGCTAAAAAATAAATAACTTGCCAGCTGCAGGCTGTGCTAAACTCCTTTAACCCTGTTACAGAATATCTTCTAGCTTTTTGCTGTATTAAGAATGTCTGAAAGGTTTTGATAACTTGGGTTTGAGTGATTGCTGTTTTATTTTGTCCTACTCAGGTTGCTATTAAACAGATAAACCTGCAGAAACAGCCCAAGAAGGAGTTGATTATTAATGAGATCTTGGTAATGAAGGAGCTAAAGAACCCCAACATAGTCAACTTCCTGGACAGGTAAATGCAGACAGATGGCTGATTCCTTCATCCCCAGAGTGGTTTTAACATCCCAAGTGGTTTTAACTTGATATACTCACATAGACCTGATTGCCTGTACCTAGAGGCCTCAGAAGGAAATGAGACTGTATTTTAAACTATCATCTGAAAGAAAAAAAAAGTCATTTGTTATAGGGAATGATCTTGATGATTCAGTAAGGGGCCACTTTGTCATGGATGCAGGGCTGCGTGTGCATCGGAGGGGGGCAAGAGCACAGCTGGAGCAATGCTTGCGTTGCGCATGAGAGATGCAGGGTGTCATCCTGCCCATTTAGGTAGTATAAAGCACACAGCTTTTATTGTCAGCGTTTACATTTCAGGCTGCCTTCCAGAGATTAACTTTCTTCACTGTTTGTCTTGAGCACTTATGAATCATTTCATTGAGCAGCTCTTGATCAGTCATTTTTCAGCTGTCGATCCCTTGGTGGCAGGCGGGCATGCTTTTCATTTTCTGTCTGTAGTTACCTCGTAGGAGATGAATTGTTTGTGGTGATGGAGTATCTAGCTGGAGGCTCGCTCACAGATGTGGTCACAGAAACGTGTATGGATGAAGCACAGATTGCTGCTGTTTGCAGAGAGGTAAGTGTTCTAGTTGATGGGTAGAGGAACGAGGTGCACTCAGTTCCCCTGGATTTTTATGGTACACTTGTGTTAGGACTAATTGCAACAATTGCTGTTGGAGCCATTGAGTTAGGAAGAGTGAATGACACTGAGCAGAAATAAATATTTAAAAGATAGAAAATAGCAAAATTGAGTTTACTTCAGAAAACTGGGGGTTGGCAAGTTGCAACATGAGCTATGTTTTGATCTGAGTGCTTGGGAATGTTAAGTGATGGAGCAGATAAAGATTTTGGTTTTGGTACCTGGGTTGCCTAGTCCTGCTGGCAATGTTCACAACATAATGCAGACTGAAGTTGAAGTAAGAGCAGTGAAGGAGTTTAGCAGCTGGAGAGAATGTCTTTTTTAACCTTGACTAACAAAGAATATTCAAAGGCGCCAAAAAGAAAATGTGACTACCCACATATATAAGTAATGTAGAAAGTAGAGATGTTCACATATTAAAAAAAACAAAGGAAAGAAAAAAGCTTGAAAGCTTTGGAGTCTTTTCCAGAAGGAAAAAGAAGAACTGTGCTTACAGTGTGAAAGTGAGTCTGATGAAACAGGAATACGTCAAGAAACGTGTACTAAAATAAAGATGAACTTGATGCAGACTATCCCTTTTTCATTTTAGTAGTTTTTATAGTGTGTGATATCTATAGTTCTCTGACAGTTAAGTTTTCTTTGTGCATTTCTTGGAAATATAATTCTCTGTAAGACTGTAGTTAGAAGAATTTTAAAATTGCGGTAAGACTTTTAATGAAAGAGTTAAAAATAGTTGATGTCACAACTTATCAGTGGTTTCTGCCCTGAGTCAGAGTGCCAGCATCCAGATCAGGCTTGATTTATTATGGTAGAGAGAAAGGTAATTGCATTAGCTGCTGTGCAGGAGAAACGTAGGCTTTTAAAACCCCCATTTGACTACATCAACATGACGTCTGCTTGGGATGACTCACCGGGAGGGAGGGGATGGAAAGCAAACTTGTACGTTAACATGTATGGACAGGTAATGGTTTCCTGAGAAACCAGTGCTGGAAGCAAAGTATCGAAAGTAACTATTTACTGCAACAGTAATTAACTTTTCTGAGGAAGAATTCTTGTACTGAACTATTGTGCTTCATCAAAGTTACCCTGCTATGTTAGATGCCCTTCATTCTGCAAATCTGTGCCACTTAGAAAAGCAAATGAAAACACAAAAAACACACTGGGGACTACATCCATACCAAGTTGCAAATGGGAAATGTTCTGCTTATATTAAAAGAGAAAAATCTTACTCTTTTTCCCCCCTTTTATTCTCAAGTAGCAAAAGTAAATTTCATAATGTTTTTAGGCAGAAACTTGGTGTGAAAGGTTTTAATCTAAAAGCAGTGCAAAACCAGTATCAGTGACTTCATTATGAAGATGGTTGAAAGCCTTCACTGTAGGAAAAGTTGCTTGTTGATAATAAAGTCTCACCAGCTCCTCTTGGTGGGACTTCAGGCTAAATAGCTCTCACGTAGACCTTTATGGTTCCCCTGTAGTATTTAGAAGAGGTACCAAAATTAACATCTGGGATTTTTGAGAGCACCTTGGGTGATGAGGCGTTTAGTTTATGGGTTTTTAAGATAGCAGGGGAAACTCCTCATGAGGTCAAAAAGCATTTTAACCATGATCTGGAGAGTATATTTTAGCACAAGAGCTTCCTCTGCTGGTTATTTTAAATAATACCTGTTCTATTTTTGCACTCAGCACTGGCTGGGGGTGTGAGCATTGCTTTGGAATTTGTGTTCACATACACAAATTGTGTTTCCATATGCTGAATATTTTTTTCTTTTTCCTCCCATCCAGTGCTTGCAAGCGCTTGAGTTCCTACATGCCAACCAGGTCATCCACAGAGACATCAAGAGCGACAACGTGCTGTTAGGAATGGATGGATCAGTTAAACTAAGTGAGTCCCAGACAATGCTTTCAAGGTTCTGTTTTTCCTTTCCCAGTAAACTTTGACTCGGAGAGTGTAAGTCAGTAGAAGGAGAGTTGGCAGGGAAACCCGAGGTGCGTTTTTATTGCCTATGAGTAATAGAAGTTCATCCTGTGCTATGAAATGTATAACTCGCAGGAAGCAGGTATGGAAATTCTGAGGGCCCTAAGACTAAGGCTGCGAACGTGTGAGGCCGGAAGGTTGTTGAAGCAAACCCATTGCCACATGCACATGTTGGTAAATATGAAGTAACTGTCACCATGCAGTGAAGCAAAGATGCAAAGGATTGCAACAGAAGAGTTGCAGCTAACTGCAGTTGCTTCGTTAGTCTCTTCAGGTTGTTATGACTTGCTTTGGATGGCCGCTAACGAGAACATTGTATATTATTAACCGTTTATATTGCAGTCTAATGCTGCGCCTCTACTGGGTCTCCTTTTCTTGGACTGAAAGTGTAACACACTTTCTTTATTATAATCATGAAATGGCAAATGAAATTCCTTGCTTTTCAGGTAACTGTTATGCGTGCATGGACTTGTGTACAGACAGTGGGTTTCTGGTGTGTGTACGCGTGTGTGGCAATAAAAGAATGTGCAACCACATGAAGAAGCTGTCAGGACTGTTGAGAGAAAGAGAGGTGCATTATCTGACTTCTTGGTATGTAGGAATGCGTGAAGCATGAAGTGCCCAAAGAGTTAAGGGATGTAAGGGATGGTGTTTTTACAGCTGGGTAGGAATTTGAAATGCCATGAAAGCACATCTGAGCAATATTCCTTACTCTAGATGGTTTGCAGTGTCATATTGGTTATTAAATGGAGCGTGAAAAAAGATTACGAGCAACCTGATTTGCTCACCAGCATTGGTGGATGCACTGCTTGTTTGCATAGGAGGCTTCAGTGTTTTTTTAAAGAGGGTGATGTGTTTATGCACAAACTGTGTGGATTTGGAGACTGAAGTTGAGCGAATAGTTACAGTGGAGGATGTGGCTGGGAAGAGTTAGCTGGAGAAGCCTCAAAAATATAAGAGCTGTCAAAGCAGAGGGGCAAAAGACAGGGTTAGCAGCCTATGTAAAGAAGCATCGTCCCCAGGAGATTGGATGAAGATGAGGAAGAAGGAGACAGGAGAGAACAGGAGCTAGCTGTAAAAATGCCCTATCTGAAGGGGAGGTATGGCAATCAGTGCTGAGATTAGCCCTTCTGTGGCTTCTAGCAGCTGTTTAGGGTGCAGGGTGGAAGAAGTTGCACCTTCTTTTCAAGCTCTTCCTTGTCTCTGGAAGAGTGTGGTTACTGGGAGACTGGGAACAGCAGAAGTGAGAGATACCAATCTGCCTGTCACCACTACATGCCTCCACGCACGCTGGGTTGGTGTAACTGGGTTCTACATCTTGCCTGTCTTTCCTCTCCTTGCTGGTGACATGATGCTGAAGGCCTCGTTGGTAGGTCAGGAGATGGACCCTGCTGCTGCTTTTCTGGTGTGTTTGATGAAATGAGCTATGCCTTGAGTATGACACCTTGATAAAGGCCAAGAAGTGCTGGCAAGGAACTCAGTGGCTGCTATAGTTTTACCTTTTTCTTTTTTCTTTTTTTTTTTTTTTTTTTTAAACTAATGATATTTCTGGATATGTATTTAATTGACCCTTCAGGGCATTAAGCTAACTGTCTGAACATTTAGGAAAAGCAGCCAAGTCTGACATTACATCGTAAAATAAGGGAGCTTGCCAGAGCCTGGACATAGAAGCCTTGTGCACGAGAGCTTGACCAAAGCACAAGAAGAAATCTGATAGCTGGAGCAATACCCGGTAGTTAACGGGCATGTAAACCAAGGAACCACTGCAAGATTAAGTATCAGGTACTATTACACTCTGCTGCACTAGGACATCTTTTGCGGGGGCTTTTATATTTTTTCCTTTTTTTTTTTTTTTTTTTTTTTTTTTTTTCAGGCAACATCTTGACAGTTGGGATGGGAGTAGTTCTTTGTTAAATTGCCCTGGGTACAACTTGGCATTTTCATGACTGTGGCGCTTTTGTCAGCACTGTGGCATAACACTTTCAAAATTGACTCGAAATTTTACGTTCTCTTTCTTTCTCTCTTTCTCTCTCTCTCTTTCTCTCTCAAACTTAGTGTCAATGATAAGGTAATATCTGTCTCCTGCCTTAACTGTGTTCTTATTGATGCTTTACATGCCTGGGAAGTGGGAGTGCTGCAGCTGGATAAAGTAACATGATGGAACATGCATTGCTGCTGCACCTGAAGGCTATAGGAATAGGTGACTTTTCTTGTTTTCTTGAGTGTGGTTGTTCTCTTTAGTAGTTACCTTGTGGAAAGGTTTGTTTGTCCAGGTTCCTTCTGCTGAGTGCGATAGCACTTCACTTATCCGAAGCCTTGTTTCCATGTCTCTTGTCAGCTGTAGTACCTGTATTTGATGGACAGATTGCTGTGGAATGTTGAACTCAGTAGCTGCACAAATTAAATTTGTTTAGCAGGGCAGAAGCCGTGGTTTGTGGATTCGTGTTTGCTAGAGCTGAATGTATAACACCCCATGCGCAGAACACTTCTGCGCCTTCTGTGTTCTGCTTCATGACTTTTTTTTGGCTGCTACCAGTCTAGGAATCTTGAAGACTGGGCAAAATACCATTCTTCTACAGGGTAATACTTGTGTCACTTTTTCAGAGGACAAAAAGGCTTATCTTCATTCCACGGAAATCTGCCCTTCTTAAACACCTTCAGGTTTTGTATCGATCTTGCACGTTGGCTTTTGTATTATGGCAAATATAGTGGGGGGGAAGGGAAAAGAAAAGGAGACGCTCCCAAGCCCCTCAAGTGTGGAGGAGTAAAATGTATGTGTAGTAATAGAGAAGTCTTGTAGGAAGCCTACTGACTTGGGGTGCACCAATTTAACTTCTTAAAATTCTATTATCCTACAGCCGACTTTGGTTTCTGTGCTCAGATCACCCCAGAGCAGAGCAAGCGCAGCACCATGGTTGGGACTCCGTACTGGATGGCTCCCGAGGTGGTCACGCGGAAAGCGTACGGCCCTAAAGTGGATATCTGGTCTCTGGGCATCATGGCTATCGAGATGGTGGAAGGAGAACCCCCGTACCTCAATGAAAACCCGCTGAGGGTAAGAAGCCCCGATGGGGCTAGAACTATTTATGGGTATTTACCATGGAAAACATATGGATGTTGTCAGTGATTGTTCATTCATAGTACCTATGTGAAAAAGAAAATGAAATAGAAAAGGCAACAAGCATCAGCAGTGCAAGAGAGTTTCTCCAAAAGGAAGACAGCTGTCTTGAATTTGCTGTCAGCCCTACCCCAAGTTTTTCTGTTTAGAAGATGATTACCTGCTTGTAACTAAATCATTGGACTTTGAACGCAGTCTTCCCAGCTAGTTTAGGGAAAGTAAATCCATTAGGTTATGAAAAATGCTGCTTGTGGCAGGAGCTGGTATTTCCTTTGCCAAGGTGTCTGTTGCCAAAAGATTTTGAATGTTACTTTGCAAGTAGGTCACGACTGTGTAGAATTGTGGCATTCTTGGTTTGTCATCAGGGAGAGAAGCAGGCGGCAGAGCCCTTTCTCATCTAGACTGAGGGGTTGCCATTAGGCAGGTCACTTGTGCATCTTCTAAAGATTTGGCTTGGTTATACAATATATTCTTCATTTTACAGGCTTTATATTTGATAGCAACTAATGGCACGCCAGAGCTGCAGAACCCCGAGAAACTGTCCCCAATATTCCGGGAATTCTTGAACCACTCTTTGGAGATGGATGTAGAGAAAAGAGGATCAGCCAAAGAATTGCTACAGGTGAGAATCAGGTTCTCCACAGCGTGAGATACAGGAGCCGCGAGTAAGGTCAGCCTGTGATAAACCACACCGTAGACAGGCACTCTCTTTTTTGGGTTTTCTTCTGAGGAATCTAGCGGAGAGCAGTTGGTAGGAGCTACGGTCATCGAAGATTGTAATATGTACCCCAAAGTCTTTCCATCAGTAATCTGCCTTCATTCTGCCACTGCTAAAGCCCCCAACAATTTACGGATTTACTGTAACGGAGTGAAGTGAGCAGGATAGCCCTGAGAGAAGATATTTGAGTGGGAAACCTCTTTATAGTGAATCACTGGAAAAGGAAAGGCTGAGGCTCTTTTGGGGTGAGGAGGAGTGATTATCAGGCTTTGAGGTGCTCTGGATCTATCCCTTCAGGAGCTGGGCGTTGATAGCGTTTGCCTTGTAGACATATGGCTTTTACTGGCTTTTTAAACTGCCTCTCACGAATTTACTGTGTTTCTCTCTTCCTGGCAGCATCCCTTCCTGAAACTGGCCAAACCTCTGTCTAGCTTGACGCCACTGATCTTGGCAGCCAAAGAAGCAATGAAGAGTAACCGCTAACATTACTGCCACAGCCTTCATCTTTTTTTTGTGTGTTTTGTTTGTTTGTATTTTACAAATCTTTATAATATATGAAATTGTTACACTTCTGGGGGGAGGGAAGGAATTGTGGTGACTCTAGTGATCCCTGTCTGGGGTCCAGAAGGAATTGAGGACTGAATTACTGGCCTTTTTTTTTTTTTTTTTTTTTTTTTTTATGCCACTTATGTGCCCGGGGTTTTAAGGGTTTTTAACGACTTTGCTGTCGCAGCTCCCATTCATTGTACCCTTCTGGGTACTTTCAATACTTGAATGACAGATTCAAGCTTTCAGAGAGCAGTACTAATTCTACCTGCTGATCTCTTTCACTCTCCTCTTCCTCCACTCTACCAATTTACTTTTTAGCCCCGCTAGTAAGCTCCCATGTGACTAGATTCACGGCAAGTGTGACAAATGTGAAGGTACATCTTGCCCCTCACTTTTTTTAATGAATTAGCTGTTACTGTACTGTAGAATTGACAACTTGGCTACTTAAGAAATTGTAATATGTTGAGATGTGTTTTGCTTTTTAAGATGAATTTGGAGAGAGGGGGAAGAGAAGTATTCAATTGTTTCTCATATGCCTGTGCTCTGTGGATTTTTTAATCAAAGATATGGCCTCTTTGTAGAAACTTAGTGATTGGTCAAGTCTTTGGATGTCAGTTTATGGATATGTAGGTAGGGGTCAGATACTTTATTTATGATCGAATTATCAGCTATAGTCAGGGCAAGAAAAAAAATTCCAGCTGTCTTCCTGTCTGCTCTTTTTTTCCCATTAGACTTGCTGGCCAGAAGCTTAAGGGGTAATGTGCTTTGTGCTTGGTGGTTCACAAACATGTATCTGTGCTCTGACTTGGGCTTTGGAAGTTATGCTGGTGCCTTTGACTTTTTTTATTTTGTGTTTCCCTTCTTTGTATCAAATACATTTTTGTATATGTTGTAATTTTTTTTTTTTCCTCCCAAGCAAATAATGCATCGCCCTCTATGGAATTGTCAGAGTTTAAGTATTAGAGCTATTTTTTTCCAATTTTGTACGTGCTCCATTTGTACTAATGAAATCAGAAGAACAAATAATCAGATCTGAGGACACTGAAGATACAGGAATTTTTAAATATGATTCAAGCAGAAGATTATGAACACCTGGAAATGCCAAAGTGCTGTTCTGAGAAGATGAAAGCCGGGGGAGCAGAACAGTGCCATCGGACGTCCATGGGGCTTATTTGACTGGTTAGTCCAAGGCTGAGGAGATGCCACGTGTCACACCAATCCTTCCTCGCTAAGGACGTTGTGCCAGCAAGAACGGCTGATGTCTAACAGTCAACGCAAGAAAAAGTGCCTCCCTCTGACGGACAGTGAGCAACTTGAGCAGTCGAGTTCTTGGGGTGTCACCAGGGGCAAGTGTAGAAGAACCTGTGCCCCAGGTTCTTCTAGTGCTACAGTCTGTTTGCTTCAGCTTCCCCAACAGTTTAACGAAGAGCCAGCTGTAGTTACAATGTGCCAAACATTCTGTGAAAGAATAACCATTACTTTAGTGTGATTTTATTGCATTACCAGCGGGGCAGGACCTGGGACAGATAGGGTTATGGCTGGGTATGGACAGAGGACCCTGGATAAAACTTTTGCACACTTTTTACAAACGTTGCTGGCAGAAGATAGAAGTCATTTTCAGCTAATTTTGGTATTTGTATAGCAATAGAGATGATTATGTTTTGGGGACTGGTAGCCAAGGTATGACAAAACCAACTTCCAGCTGTGAGGGGCCGGCCAGGACAGCGGGGGCTGTTTGTGTTGGTGATGGAGAGACGTGGGACAAGGGTCTCGCAGCATCTGCTGCGACTTGTTGGCTTGTAGGAGCTGGCGTGGTACCAGCAGGACTCCTGGTTGTGCAGGGCACTGCGGTGGCGTGGGGCAGCTTGTGTTCTGCTCTTGCGTGGTAGGAAATATTTACATCGGTTAAATGACGTTAACTGCTCCATCAGAGGAGTAAATCCTTCTGGCTCCAAGTGTAGCAATAGTTATGGTTTGAAATTGGAGGAAGTGTCTCATTCCAGGCAAGTAAATCTAGATGCATTTCCCAGGCAAGATGTATTTACAAGCCATGGACACCGCAGTGACGGCCATGCCCCGGTTTGAGTGCTCCCTCATCAAATGGAGTAGCGAGGAGGCTTGGCTGAGAAAAACCAACCTGTCGTACCAATGATTCCCTCTTTGTCCGTTGCTGGCAATGGACTTTGTGAAACTCCTTGTGCCAGAGTTGAACTGGGAGCTTTTCTTTCTTCTATCTTTTCTTTTTTTTTTTTTTTTTTTTTGGTGGCACAATCTAGACAGTAAGATAACTTGCCATAATTTTAGGGGTTTTTAAAATAGAAAACCAAGAAATCCTGAGTAATTGTAACTTATTGGTTCACTTTTATTGATGAATAAGAATGGTTTCAAACATACGTTACAAAATTTGTTCAATTTAGGCTACTTAGGAGATGATTTCCAAACTTTCAGCCATCGTAGCACACTAAACTTGGCCCAACCCAGAAGTTGCTGAACCTGTATCTCAGCACTTGCTGTGTGACCTGGAATGGTGGTTAGCTCTGACGTTGAGAAGTGTCCACACCTCCCCTTCCCCAGGTGGCAGATGTGTTGTTGGGGGGGGGGCAGATTTTTCAACCCCCTGCTGCCAGAAACAGGGGGCCAGAGATGGAGCTGGCGGAGGAGGAGAGCCAGGGGAAGGTTGCTGGACTGTGCTTTTGTATCTTTGTGGGTCAGGCATCGCTTTCCTAATGATGTCGGCGAAATTAAAAAATGCCAGCTGTGGGGTTTTTTTCCCCTTAAGGGAGCAGATGAGCATCCTTAAGAGTTGCTGGGGGGGCTGTTCGATCTGCTCTGTCGCTGGGGCAGCCAGGGACCAGCTGGAGTCCGAGTAGGTGATGCTAAGGGAAGGATTGCATCTGAAAGGGCTGGGATTTGCTCTCTCTTGGGTGCCAGCACAGGGTCCTGGGACAGATTCCCATCAAATATGCACGTGATACGTCTGGAGTGTGATGTACAGTGGTGTGGTTAGTTGGGCAGATGGAGCTGGGCAGCAAGAGTGTAGGGCATGTGTGACTCCTTGGATTTTCTTGTTATTGTAGAATAAACCAAAGTTTTCATCGAGAGCAACCACGATGCTGGGAATGTGCACTTTGACCTGCCTTAGGTGTTAACGAGACTAATTGTAGGCTTCCCCCTGGCTCTCCTGGTGCAAGGAGGCACAAAAGGAGAGGCCAGAGCAGATGGGAGAGGCTGGGTCCCGCTGGGTCAGAGGGGATGGTGGGTGGCCGGGGGGGGAGCCAGGAGGTTGGTCAGGGTCTCTCCAGCTAGAGTTGAATAAATAAACATCTCTGGTTCATTTTTCCCTCTGTTCCTCACACTGTCAATGGAAATGGAAGTAGGTGCAAGCTTTCTTTTTATTTTTTTAACTGTCTTCAGATTTTAATGTTGCCTTTTGTGTAATTTAATCCCATTATGTTATTTAATTGTTACTGCAATATTAACTACTGTATTTGTTGACTTTGTTTAATAACTGTTCTTTCAGGGCTAGAAATAAACTTTTAAAAAACATTTTGGTTTTTTCCCCTTTCCCCATCATGAGTTTATACCTTCTAAGATGAGAGTAGCTCAACAGAATCCATGTTTAGATGTCTTAATGAGATTACCAGAATGTTTGTAATTAAGCTTCTCACGAACGCTTTGATTATGATGGATGTAATTTTATCCCATGTTAGCCCATCCTGGTTTTTGAGTACTCCTCAGTGTCTGTACCAGCCTGGTGATAACTGCAAGCTTTCCTCGCCACCACGCGCCTTCAGAACGCTCCGGATGGCCGACGGGAGGAGAGCGGCTCCGAAACACCCTGTTCACCCGCCGGGGAAGAGAGATTCCCGGCTTTTCTTGCGAAGGGAGCAAAGCAAACACCAGCCTCGTTCATCTCCCCTTCCACCGCTCGTCTGCTGTGAGGTAGCCTTTGGTAGCGACTGGGGTGGGACTGATGGGCCAGTAAACTGTGACCGTGGCAATGTCATGATGTTCCAGTAACTATTCCCAACAAGACTGCTTTATTTTGCACCGTGAATATCATCTGGTATCCCGCATATAAACATTTAGGGCACGGGAGAGGAGGGGATGATCTGTCCTGGTGCGTGCTTGGAAGAGGCTGCTGCGGGTCCTGCCCCGTCCCCACTGATCAGCCTTTGGCCAGTGGAGCCACACGGGGAGAGGACTCGGGGTGAGATCCATGGTGCCTGGTGGAGGCTGCCAAGACTTGCTCCCTCTTCATCATCCGAACTACAGAAATGTCGTGGCGTGTTGGCATGGCAGCCTGGCTAAAGAAAAGGACATTAAAAAAAAACTTACTTTGGGGTCAAGACCAGCTCAGCTGAAATCCAGATGAAGCATCTGGCTCGGTTGTGAATGTCGAGGACTCACCATGTGGTGTGTTTCCCATCTGTTATTGGGAAATCATCTCTTCCCCTTCCTTGCGTGTTGTACAAGCTTTGCTCAGACCACTGACAAAGGGAAATGAAGAAGCCACTCATCTTCAGAAGCCTTTTCAACCAGACATGAGAATGTTGTTTTGCACAAAGCACTGTCTCTTCAGGTTAATTAATTTGTTGTAGTATCCTTGTCTTTATATATAATTGACCCTTTATGCATTTAAACTGATGTTCTCTAACTCTGCATTTAAGTGATGATTTTGCATTTAATTTATGGGGGAAAAGGTTGACTGGAGGAGAGAGAAGGTGCTTGGTGGAACTCGCTGGTGATCTGGAAGTTGGTACTTGTGCTGCTGGAGGGAGAGCAGGGCTCTGGCTGAATGGGGCCTGCACAGGGTGGAAGTTGCTCGTCCTTGCTCGAGAAATCTTATTAACCTTGTGTGAACTTGCTCATCCCTTGCATATACCCGGCCTAGAGTAAACCCAAGAGCAGCCCCTTCATTTTAGATCCCTTTTTTCTTCAAGACTGGGCATTTAAAACATCGTTCTTCAAGATAGTAAAGGTGGTGGCAGTGGTTTCTCCCTTTGAGGGCTGCTGTTTGGTTGCAGTGAGTTTGCCACAAAGCTGAGCACAATTATTCAGGCTGTGCCAGCAACACCCTGGTTAAAACCAGGATGGCTGAAAGTTGAGGATCTTAATTTCTAATTAGCATTTTCCCAGTGGTGCCTGAAGAAAAGTGTTGGGTTTCAGTGCAATTTATGTGGCTCCTGTGCAAGCACGGCGGTTGGCTGCAAGTTCCTGCTCCCAGGGATTTGTACAGCTGCATTTCTTTTTCCTATTTTTATAACTTGCGTTATAACTTGCGTTTATAACTTGCTCCGAAGATTGTTTTTAATAAAAATAGCCATCCTCTGTCATGTGAGAAAGGTATATGAAACTGCTGAGCTCAGCTAAATTCTTGATGTTGTTCTCCAGATGTCTGGAGGAAGCAGGTTTTTCCAAGAGCTTTTTTTCCCCCTACTTTGAACCTCAGCCTAAGGAAGGATTTTTTAATTATTATTTTTTTTTTTCTTGAGAGGGAAAATCCCAACAAGTGAGAACAGGGAATTTCTGACTAGTTTCCTCATTTGCAGACTGTTCTGAGGGAGGGGGGTAGTGCTGGTGCAGCTTCTCCTGCTGCCATTGCCCTCTCACAACAAATATCTCGGGGGAATATCTTCCAACACATCGTAAATTCATTGCAAAAACCATTTACCTATTGACCTAGTATTGAAACAGCCTGTAGGGACTGATGATTTCTTTTTTTGTTGTTGTTTAATTTTAATTTATAATGGGATTTGTGCACTGGGAAGTTAATGATTGTGTAGTCTTTTTAGGATACTAAAAGTCCACCAGGCTTCTGCTTTGGAGAAGATGTGTGGAGTCAGTAGGGAGGAGGGTGGGATGGGGATGTATGTCCCCATGCACAGATCTGTCTCAATGCCAGACTCAGGTTTCTGGTGTTTTCCGAAGGGCTTGTGACTAATGAATCTGGTTCTCCGTAGCTGCAGATCAGCAGAGAAGATGCTGATGTGACTCGGGACATCTCCACGGCCTGTTCTGGAGGGAGAATCTACCCAGGGACAGACATTTCTTTTGACTTCAAGGTTTCTGGAGCCAAGGATGATCCGTCTTTGTTACTTTCTCCTCCCAGCAAATGCTTGTTCTAAGGATTCAGGTCTTTTCATGAAGCCCAGTTAACTCCTGGCTCTCCCTGAGCCCTTTTCATCTGGCTGCCTGTGGGAGGAAACCTGCTTCTGGGTTCCTGCTGCCTTGTCACAGCAGCTGATAATGGGTGGCTGGTCCTGGAAAGGTTTTATCCACCCCCCCCTCCCCGCCCAGTAAAACTCTCCTTAAATAACCTTACAATTATACTCAGCCATAGCTATTACCTCTTTGTAGGTGAAAACTGTGCTGGGGGGAGCCAGCACGGTTCTGCTCAGCTTTTGTTACCCTTCAGTGGTTTTGGATGGTGTTTATTTGACTTCACTGCGAAAATGCCAACTTGTTCCTGTCCCATGGCTAAAAAAAAACCCACCCAGTTCAAATACCTGCTGTAGTTCTTGACAGCCCTGAAAGCAAATTTCATTTAGAAAAGACACGGGTGTTCCAGCCGCAGTACAGTGGTTTTCAGTGCAGATATCTGAATTTTTAGACACTCTTGTTTCTAGAAGAGCAGCCGTGAAGACTTTCGAAGGGGTTTTGTCTTTGCAGTGGCCTGAAGATGTGCTCCAGGACAGAGCCCGCGGCATGTCCCCCCCTTGTCAGCACTGATGGGAGACGGGAAATGAGCTGCCCGTGTATCTGTCACTGCCGTTATTTAATCCCCTCGTTATCCTCATAAGCAACAGCTTCCAGTTTCCCTCTCCAGCCTGGGCTGAGTGTCCCACAATTGCAGGATGTGCCGTGGGTATAATTACAGGCGATGGACGGGAAATAGCTTTTAAAGACCTCTGGACATCTGATTGTTCACTTCCTAAGGCCCAGCTCTTAAAGGTCTTGAGAAGGAGGGAAAATTCAGTTCCTGTTGGGAAGGAAGAGGTGTTTGGATTATTTTTTTTCCGGGTTTGCCATGGGGGGGTCTCTCAATGTTTTCCGCGTCACAGCTGTGTTTGGAGGAAGGGGATGAGAATGCACTTGCTTTTTAGGCATTAGCTTTCTTTTGAAAGAGTAGCCAGGAGCAGCAGTGTGAGGGGCGATGCCTTCACCCCCTTTTTTCTGTTGATCTGGATGGACTCTGCTCAAAGGCCAAAATGTTCTGCGGAGCGGGGGGCTCTGAAGGTGTTCTCTGGGGGGGGGCTCTGCGAAAACTCTCATCTGCCCTGTCAAAACCCTCTGTTGAAGCCAAGGTTGAAGTGCTGGTAGGAGGGATGGAGCTGTGGTACAGGAAGACCCATGATGTTCCTCTCTGCCAACTGCCTGTTTGTCTCCTGGGTCCCATGGGCCGGGGGTTCTCTTCCAGGGACTCGGTTTGGGCCGGTGTCACTGGGTCCTTGTCAGATGTTTGTTTCTCAAGTTGGGAGCCTGAGAAACACAAAAATAGGGGAGATAGAAAGAAACTAGTTGGGTTGCGATGTTAAGTGTTTGTGGTGTCCTGCAGCCAGGAGGAGCTTTGTCTGACTCAACACTTTGCCAGAGGTGAATTTTCACGAGGTCAAAAATAATTAATTTTCTGAGTCTTTAAAAAAAACCCCACCTGTTTCATCCTCCTTTTTTCAGGCAAGGTTTGCTCATTTGAGGCAAAAGATACACACTCGTTTTGCTTCCTGGAGAGAGAAATGGGTTAAAAATGTTGAAGTTATGATGTGTTTTGAGGCAGGTGAACTGAAGCAGGGCCGTTGTGTTGGGGAGGAGCAGGGGGTTGGAGGATGGGCTGGTGCAGGGTGATCCCTCTCCCTGCTCGGGCTTCCTGAGGTTTGCAAAGCACATGCTGTGTGCTGTGATCACCGGGACCGGCACCTTCCCCAAACCACCCTGGGGCCATGGCAGTGACTGTGGGGAAGAGAAGGATCTGGGGGTCCTGGTGGACAGTAAACTCTCCATGAGCCAGCAATGTGCCCGTGTGGCCAAGAGGCCAATGGGATCCTGGGCTGCGTAGGGAAGAGTGTGGCCAGGAAGTGGAGGGAGGTCATTCTCCCCCTCTGCTCTGCACTGGGGAGGCCACAACTGGAATCCTGCGTCCAGTTCTGGGCTCCCCAGTTCAAGAGAGACAGGGAACTGCTGGAGAGAGTCCAGCGAAGGGCAACAGAGAGGATGGAGGGATTGGAGCATCTCCCTGGTGAGGAAAAGCTGAGAGAGCTGGGACTCTTAAGCCTGGAGAAGAGAAGGCTGAGGGGAGACCTTACTAATGCTGACAAGTCTCTAAAGGGTGGGTTGAAGGAGGATGGAGCCGGACTCTTTCCAGTGGTTCCCAGTGACAGGACGAGGGGCAACGGGCACAAGCCGGAACATGGGAAGTTCCACTCCAATGTGAGGAAGAACTTGTTTGGGGTGAGGGTGGCAGAGCCCTGGCAGAGGCTGCCCAGGGAGGGTGTGGAGTCCCCTTCTCTGGAGATCTTCAAGCCCCCCCTGGATGCTCCTGAGTGCTGTGCTCTGGGCAACCCTACTTTGGCAGGGGGGTTGGACTGGATGATCTCTAGAGGTCCCTTCCAACTCTGACAATTCCGTGAAGGAAGGAGAGCGGTGCAGGTGGAGATGCTGAGGGTGGCTGTGAACTTCACAAACATCTCCAAGATGCCCTACCCAAATGTTGTGTTTCTTTCCCACGGTGCCAAGGGCTAAAAGGGAGAAAGGCCGAGCAGCTCCCACCCCGTGGAAGCAGATGCTCCTGGTTTCATGGGTTGGTGTGGGTTTCCACAGCGTGTCAAGTGTCTTACCCCTGGCTCAAGTGTCCTTCAAACCTCTGCCTCCTGGCAATTTCTTTTATAAATGACTACCCGGGGGGGAAATAAAATGGCATTACTAAAAGCTGTTGGCTCCTTGCGTGTGATCGGGCGGTGAGAGAAGCCTCTGTTACCTGCTGCATGGAGTAGCCCAGCATGGTGGCCCTGATGCCTAGCAGCTGTTTTGGGATACGTCCCACCACTCATTCCTGTGATAGCAGAGCACGCCTGGGCATGTTTATCCCTGCTGCTGTTCCCGCTGCAGGGGTGGGAAGCATGAGCTCAGGGTGGTGTAATTTCTGCTGCAGAGCGGGGAAGTGACCCAAAAGACACATCATGGACTGTTCATGCTCTGTTAGCCATGAGTCTCTGATAACATGACGTTGTCCACCCTGTCCCACCCTTCCTGCTGTGTCTTGCACTTTCCATCACTCACCTTGACTCCTGCAGACCCCAGGGGTGAGAGTCCAGGGGTCCCTGGTGATCTGGCAGGAGCGGGAGCAAACCCAGAATATTTTGGCACTTAAAATTGCTGTTGCCTCCATCAAAGGTCTGACCTAAATGTGTTGGGTCAGATGGTGTGGGCTTCAGAAGACAGGTGATGACGACACCATGGGGTGGTTTTGGTGGAGCTGGGAAAGAGCCTGTCTCCAACATGTGTGTTACCAGCAGGAGGAGTTGAAGTGTCATTGTCACTAAAGTGCCACCTGCGGACCAATGGCATGTGCAATTAGTGCCACCACCAACAAACAAGGTGAGGTCTCACTCAAGCCAAGGATGGGAAGGAGTAAGCAAACCCAGCCTTCAAAGTCAGAAAAGATGGCTTTGCCATGCCTCAGAGCAGCTCTGCCCTGGAGACACATGGAGCTCCTCGATGGGTTGCTGGCTTTTGAAGAGTCCCCTCAGGCCCAGGCTTTGGGACAGAGGCAGTAGAGTTGTGTGTTATGGTGCTGAGTGGAAACAAAATGAAGGTTTTTGTTCCTTCTGGAAGACCTGCACAGCCCTGGGAGCTGCTGCGGGCTCTCAGATAGGGCTTCTGGGGGGTGGGGGCTCAGTTATTCCTCTCAGCTGGAGATAATAACCCCAGGACCTGCTCGCTGGGACAGCTTGTGGGCTGCTCCAGCTGGGGCTGAGCCCGTCGGCTCCCGGTGGCAGCAGACATTGTCCCCCAGAGGAGAGGACAGCACGTGTGGCCTTTCCCAGGCCTGTGGGGCTGCGCCACGTTTGCTTACGCGCAGCTTCATAAAGAGGGAGGTGCGGAAGCTTTCTCTGCCCCTTCCCCCCAGCGCAGCCTTTGCTATGGCTGGCCTGAACGTCTCCATTGCTTTTTTCTTCCTGGTGGTCGGGGTGGCCCAGGCGCTCAGGTGGCTTTCCAAGAGGCTTCTGCCTCCTGGACCGTATGGCTGCCTGGCCAGAGAACTCGCCAGCTCGTTGCAGTTGTGCACAAGCTGCCTCGAGCTGAGGATGCTGTTGGAGATTGGCCCATGGGGTGGTGGCTTTGGCCCGGACGTGGTCCTGACTCTGCTCTTCATCCTCTTTGCTGTTCACAGCGCCTCTTTTGATGGAGCATCCGCCAACCCCACCATCTCTCTCCAGGAGTTCTTGCTGCTCGAGTCCAACCTCGCCGCGACTGCTGCCAAGCTGCTGGCCCAGGCTGTGGGCATGGGGACGGGCTGGGCTGTCACCAAGCTCTACTGGTCTTGGGAGCTGACACATTTCCACCTCATCCAGAACCTGATAATGTCGGAGTGCAGCTCCTCCATCCACACGTCTCTGCACCACGCTGCCTTTGCAGAAGGCACCTGCTCTTTCCTTTTCCACCTTGTCCTTCTCAAGTTGTGCCGGAGTCACCCAATCTACCGGGTCCCTGCGCTGGCAGCGACTGTCACCTTCCTGACCTACACAGGTGAGCAGCACCCGCCTTTCTTTATCTAAGACATTTAGAAAAATACCTCATTTGTGGGAACTTAACAGTCCCTTTGTCATCTTCCAGGACTTGAGAGGTAATGGTTACCAAGACATTTGTTTTCTACTTATTTTGGTAGAATATTCATTTGGGGAGTATTCATTTTGGGTTGAAGACACTAGTTTAGCATATCTAGATACCTGTAGCTTGCCCCAAAATTGGGAACGCTTTTCTTGAATGTCCTCCAACGCAAGCCCTCAGTCCTGCTCTGAGCTCTTCTGCTTCTTGTGAAGCTCAGGGTAACAGGGGTGGGATTTCCCCGTGTGCTGTGGTTTCACAGCCCCAGAGATGCCGCTGCTGGAGCTGGGCAGCAGCAGAGATGCTCCCAGCAGGCAGGAGGGGTGGCGGGTCTCCCTCTCCAGCTCTTTGTCCCTCTTACCAAGGATGCGAGCAGACTGATGGCTGTGCTTCTCTTCCCACGCAGCTGGACCGTTCACGGGGGCCTTCTTCAACCCTGCCCTGGCCACAGTTGCCACCTTCCACTGCTCAGGGAACAGCTTTTGGGACTACACCCAGGTGTACTGGCTGGGGCCCCTTGCAGGTGAGATCTGCCCAGGAGGGACCGGGGAGCAGGGGTTGGGGTGGGGGGCAACGGGCAAGGCGGAAATGCTGGACCTGGCAAAGGGCTGAACCTGCATCTTGCCAGTGGCAAGTGTCCTCTTCTGTCCCCCTCCCCTGCCACCCCAGTCATCCCTTTGCTCTCCGTTTTCTAAATCCAATTTCTACGTGGGACGTGGCAAAACATTCCCTGAGGCCAAAGTCTGGGGGAGATGAAGCAAAGATGTGTGGGGGCAACGACAGGGTGAGCTATGCTATTGAGGTTGTCCACAGCTTCAGGATGACCATGAGGAGCAGGATCCATACTGCTTTGAATGCAGAGAGCTGGGGAAGGAGGCTGCTGGTGTGGTTTATAGCTCTTTTGGGTCAAAACAAGCCTCTATTGTATTAAGGACACCATGGTTAAATTCTCCTTAAATTAATACAGCACGGGTCTTTTAGATAACCTCAGTGGGGACTTCAGTGGTGCTGAGCTACATTTTGGTCATGAGGAAGGTTGTGGCAAGGGCCTGAAAACCACTGCTGGGCCGTGGGGATGCTTGATGCAGCACACGGAGGGGGTCCGTGCTCTCGTTTCAGGGATGCTCGCTGCCCTCCTGCTCTACCAAGGCAACATCCCACGACTCTTCCAGAAAAACCTCCTTTACAGCCAGAGGAGCAAATACAAGATACCCAAGGCACGGGTGGTGACGCACGTGGAGGATAATGAACCCCGTCGGAAGAGGAAAGGGCAGAAGAGCAACTCTGAGCCTCGTGCCTGAGCTGCCGATGGGGGCTGAGGAGGTTCCTGCAGCCCCTCTCCTGGCAGTGGGTTTCCTGGGGCAGAGGATTTTGCTGCTCATCCCGCCCAGCATCCCTCCTGCCTGCTCGGTCCCTACCGCAGGGTGAGATTTTTTATTTTTTATTTTTTTTAAAAACATGGCAAAGGAATGGGCCAAGCTGCCCTTGCAGGACCTCTGAATCCCTGAGCCTCTTTGGGAGTAGCTTTGAAAGTCACCCTGAAGAGCCCAAAGCTTTTCAAGCCTGTCTGTGGCGGGGGAAAATCTAACACTTTTGAAGAAATTGCTGGTTCTCTTACGTTACCAAGAAGCTTACAAAAAGTCAGGACTATTACGTGGGTACGCTTGAGCAACCCCCACATTATTGCATCGTGCAACGCTTGAAACAATCTGTCTGGGTCTCTTGCAGCCATAAAAAGCATAAACCATTAACTGCCATGGAAACTTGGGATGAGGAGGAAGCAGGCTTTGATATTGTGAGTTATTAAATGGATATTGGTCAAAAACTGTTGGTTTTTTGAGTTGCACAGGCTGCACCTGGCAGTTCTTGAAGAGGGGTTAAAAATGCTCCAGGGCAAGGGAGTTCACTGGCCACAGGAGACCAGTACTTAGGTCTGTGGACGCAGTGCTTAGCCTGGGCTCCACGTGCTGTCGGGCATGGAGAGATGGTGCACAAAGTGGCCGTGGTTAAAAAGCAAGACCCAGGCAGCTGGTACGCAGCCAGTGTGGGTGAGCAAGTCTATCCCTGGGCTCCTCTCCATGTCTACGTGAAATATTCCTAAAGATAAAGTGATGGCTTGTGGAAAAATTAATAAAAATAAATGTTGTGATTGGCATTTAGGGGAATGATGTCGTTCCTGTGAGGTCTCTGGGGGGGGGAGATCAGCCCATCTCATCCCCAGAAACGGAAGAAGCTGTGAAGATGTCCAAAGCAGCTCTGTCCTACCTGCCTCTTGCTCTGGAAGGGGGGGGTAACACCTGCTAGGTAAATGGGGCTGCCCCCGGGCAATGCAGGGGCCGGGGCAGCCCGGGGGTCTCTCCACGGGGAAGAGCAGGGGCTGGGGCGTTCCCACACCCGGCATCCCTGGAGCAGAGCTGCTGGGCACAGCTGTAGATGGAGTTTCCACCCAGAGATCTCCCTGTCCCTGCCAAAACCAGCCCAGTTTTCCTGCATTTTATGGCAAACAGAGAATTTTTCAGGGCTTCTCTGGGCAGAAAATTCCTGAGCTGAACATATTCTTGATGCACCACAGCTCTTGGGAGCAATCGCGGGGTGCGTGCTCCGGGGCAGGGTGTGTTTCTCATGTGATGCTCTGGATTGTACAAGTGTCTCTGCCCTGGGTCACCTTGGCAGGAGCTCGGGCAGGCAAGATCTGCTCCTGTTTAATGAGTTGCAAATGGTGAATAAGGAAGTGGCACCCGATTAAAATCCCTAATCCTAATCCTGCATCAGATGCAGGTTTGGTACCTGGACATGTGATGTCCACTGCCCTGGGTGCCAGCCCTGCTTCTCCCTGCATCCCCACTGTGTTCCCCTCTGGGTTCTGGGGGGATGACCTTGTCTATGCTGCCCGTGGGCTGCCCATCTCCCTTGCTCCCATGTGGGATTGCCCTCTGGGGTGAACCGGAGACTGCCCAGAGGGGAGCTTGGACCTCTGCAAACCATGAGACCGCACCACGTCCCAACAGGAGAAATGAGAGAAGGGACCGAAGCAGTGAAACGTGGCCGTTCCTCAGAGGTGACACTTTATGGATCAAACAATGCCTCAAAAACTGTGCAGCACATGCCCCCTCATGGTGCCTGGCTGGATGCTCAGCCCTGCCTGGTCCCTCATGGGAAGGGCAGCGGGAACGCAGTCTGGGTTTTATCCCAGTTAAACTGTCAGCAGCAGATGGGGCACCTCTGGGTGGAAACTGAAACCTTTGAGGCTCCACATGGCTGGCCAAGGGAGAGCCTGGGATGCCCAGATCCCTCAGCAATTTTTTTGTGAACCTCTTTTGGTTTGGAAATCATGCTGAAAATCTTGAGCTGGAGCCTCTGTTTATCCAAGTGATTTGCTGGCTCTGCTTTTGATTTGAGGATAAGTGTAGGATGTGAAAAGTAAGGTTGACTAACCCACCACAAGCCGCTCTTGTGGTGTTTTTCCCCAGGCAGAGCGTGGAATGTTCCTACAGCTGCTCCAAGTCTGGGTTGGGATGTCTGGCTGCGGAGATGCTCACGAGACTGCTCTCGGATGTGTGGGCATTGAGCTCGCAGTCTGACACCGGGGTGTCGGCGGCAGCTCCGGGGTGGGAGCCAATCCTACACGTGCAGCATCCGAAGGGAACGTGTAAACACCGAATCAGGGCAAAAAAAAACATTCTTTATTCCTTTTCTTTTTTTTTTTTTTTTTTTTTTTTTTAACCCCCAGTACATTTTCAGATGTTTGAAGTTTGTTTCTTGGGCTGCTGGGGACATTGCCTACTGGGCAGACTGATGTAATTAAGGGGAATTAAGGGGGATGGTGAATATTGTTATTTTTAATTAAGAGGCTGCTTTTCCAGCACAGTAGCATTAAGGCGTAGTGGAGGAGAGCCGCAGCTGGACAGACAGACTTGTTCCTAAGCTGTAAACCGGGCTCTGCAGCTCTGATTTACAGCCTGGCCCCGTGCCGCTGCAGCCTCCGGCTGGTGGGAGCAGCAGGTGAGGGGCAGTGATGCGGTTCCCAGCTGGAACCATGCCCTATCTACCTGCAGTGGGAGGACTCGGGTTGTCCTCCTGGTTCTCCTTCCTCCTCGCTGCTGGATTCAGGGCTCTGCAGCGCAACGCCCAGGTCACCTCCTCCAAGGCTTCGGCCATCAGTCCAGGGTTTTGATCTGTTTTCTCAGGACCTACCCTGGAAGTGTCAGTTGTGTCCAGCCCCCAGGACCCCCTGTTGCAGCCTGTCCCTGCTCTGCAGCAACGGCACCCAAGAGCTTGTGCATGGTCATGGCCAGGGGTTCTTCTGGGCAAGCATTGTCCCAGCCTGCCTGCCCCCCGGGGCAGAAGCAGCCCCCGTGCCCAGGAGGGGAGCACCTCGCTGTTCTCAGCGAAGGCAGCTGGAGAGCGATGCCTGGAGGGGACGCGGAGGCTCAGTTTTGGGTGCCCTCTGGCCTGTGGTGCAGGGCATTGCCCTGCTGAGAGGGCTGGTGGGTCTCAGGGTACTTCTGGGCAAACTGCTTCTTGTAGAGAGCGCTGCTGTACTGCAGCTCCGGGGTCACCAGCCGCCGGCACATGCGCTCCGTCTCCTTGTCCAAGCCCTGCTTGAGGTTATAGCCCAAGATCCTTGCGCTGCCGTGCTGCAGTGGCTTCAGGGAAGAATCCTTGATGTGCTTTGGGGCCACACTGCCCATCCCTTGCAGGCAGGTCCTTGCCAGCTCTCCCTGCCTCTCCCGAAGTGCCGTTACTTCCCGCTGCATGCGCTCCCTGCCAATGTCTCGGTCAATCCTTTCCCAGAAGGTCCTGTTGAAGTGGGTGTAGATTTCCCAGTCCAGCCTGTTCCAGTCCTTTATCTTCTCCACGACGGCGTCTGAGAGGGGGGACTTGGTGCTGCTGTCCCTGATGTTGAGCGGGAAGGAGACAACACTGTCCAGGTCCCAGCACAGCATCTCCTTCAGTAGCACCATGGACTCATCGAAGTACTCTGAGATGAGGAGCAAGTCAAAGGATGCCTCGATGGCCTTCAGCATGAGTTGCACCCGCTCGGCTGAGACCTCTCCATCGGGGTTGAAGCCAAAGTCGAACGACATAAGGTTCCTGGCGTAGTGCCTGTCACCATCTGTGGGGTTGTAGTAGTGGTAGGGCTGGCTGAGGAACTCCTCCAGGCTGTGGACATGAGCGAAAGCCGCTGCACCCTTGTAGTATGCGAAGGAGGACTCCATGAGCTCCACAGGGTTCCTCAGGATGGAGAAATAGAATGCTGAGCTGGACACCACTTTACGCACCTGTGGAGGGGAAAAAGGAGGTTTTAAAGGTGAGGTAGGGAGAAGGGATCTGCTTGCTCACAATCCTGTGCAGAAACACTTGCTGTTGGAGCAAGTGGGGTTGGAGACGGTGGGGGCTGCGGATGTTCTTAGGGTGAAGCTCATCAAAGGAGCATTTATGTCAGCCATAGGGAGTCCCAGAAGAGGTACAGGGGAGAGCAATGACCATAGCTCCCCGCCACAGCTGGGTGGCCTGTTCAGGTGTGAGATGTGTCCTATCTCCTTCCCAGATTTGCATGTCCTCCAGCGGCATCCAGAAGGGCGGATGCTGGGCATGGCTGACCTGAGCTGATGTGCTTAAGACGTTCTTTTCTTGCAGCTGGTACCCTCTGAGCCTGTCCAGGGAGCAAGACATCTCCAAGGGCCCACCAGACAAGACTGAGATGATAGTTGCTGACTGCTATGGACACTGTCTCCTGGCTTGTCTCAGGTCACAGCACAATGATTCATCAAACCTGTTTACAGAAGTTCTTAGGAGATGACCATAACATGGAGGTACCGTTCAGCATCAGGGAGAGCAGCACCAAGTCCTCCCTGTCTCTTTTCAGCTTCATCCCTGAAGAGCTTACATGCTCTAGAGGTGTCCCACCTTGGTCCCCCCGAGCCCCATTCTCCCTCCCCTGTTCGCCCTCCCCAAGGCTCTGCCCATACCTCTGGCTGCAGGAATCGCATGTGGTGGCAGAGGATGTTGAACCGCTGAGGGCTGTTGGGGGAGAAGCCCTGCACGAAGCTTGCCAAGAAGTGGCGTGGGTAGAAGAGCTGGTTGCCACCCCCAATGGGGAAGGCGAATGTGAGGTTGTGCGTCTCGCCGAAGCGGAAGAGGATGTTCATGACGGTGCTGCTGGCGCTCTTGTGGACTTTGAGGAAAACAATGTCAGTCTTGGGTTTGCATGTCTCCCCTTGAGAGGAGACTCCTCTGACCTGCTGGCCCTCTCTGAGATTATCCTTGTCACCCTTAGGGATGTCTGTCCAGCTTGGGAAAAATCCTCTCTCTGGGTCTGTCTTGTAAAAGTCCTCTGCTTGGAGAGGCTGAGCTGAATTTGGCAAGGAGTGTTCAAGCAAGTTGCCCCCCAGGTGGTGGGGGAAATCCATGGCTTGAGTCTGAGACTGGCTCTGTACCACCACCTGCCTTGTTCCCGGTGGTGATGTTCTCCGGTGCTCCTCTGCAGTCAATCTGTTTGCAAAACTTATGAACTTGCTAGTGCCAGCATCAGCATCTCCCAAAACTGTGGAGATTCTCCCAGGAAGACTTGGAGAAGGACCCTTTCTGGTTGCTTTGCTCAGACCAGGAAGCCAGGACCTCAGCCTCGTGGAAGAAGGATGGGTTTTCACCTCCTTGCTGCTCTCCACAGGCTGCCACCTCCAGTGCTCCTCTTGGCTGCCTGGGCTGCTTTCCAGTGGGGTCTCCTGGCTGAAATACAGCTGCATCTGAAAAACGTCCTGCACGCTCTCAGTCGAACCAGGGTCTGGCACGTCTTTCCTCTGCCAATGCAGGGAATTGTCCTCCCACAGCAAGCTGGGGGTCTGGAGGGCATAGCCAAGCCTCTTCTGTCCATGGTCCATGGTCTGCTGCAGGGCATGCTCCAGCTCACACCGGCAGTTTCTGTAACAGGGAGGACTTGAGACACAGCTACGAGGATGGGCAGAAGATGGATGGAGCATGCAAAGAGGGCAGATCCTCCTCTGCAGCTCAACAACCCCCCCGCCCTTGCAGACACCCCAAAGGCTGTTCCCCCATCTTTCTTGGGGTGAGTGGCATTGCTGGTGGGTGTAGGACTTGACCACTGCCCTGGGAGGTTGGGGTGGGTGCAAGAAAAGAAGAGATGTTCCTGTGCTCCTGGAGCATGGTGGGCTGGTGGAAAGCGGCAAAGCAAGAGGAGGTGAGGAGAGAGAAGAGCAGGTGGCCTGGAGAAGCTAAAGGAAAGTTTGCAGATGACCTCACATTGGGAGGACTGGGAGGATGCTCAAGGGCTGTGGAGTTTTGAGGCCAGCCAGGACAAAGCCCAGAGCAAGCCTGGTTTGGACCCAGAGCGGGCTCAGTTCTGGCCAAGGCGTAGGGGTTGGATGTGAGAGCCCCAGAGGGGTCCTCTCCCACCTGGATTTTCCTCCCTGCCTAAAGAAGACACTGTTGGGTGGTTTTCAGGAGGACAGTTTTGAGCCAACCTCAGTGGTCAGCGGAAGGCTGGAGGACGAGGTGCAGGTTTGCAGTCCTGCTTGGGACGTACCTGGGAGGCTGCAGCTTCTCCACAACTTGAAGTGTGACCAAGAGGAGGACGAGGAGGCTGAAGAAAACCCAGAGCCGACCTGGCTGGCACCTGTATATTGCATTCAACTTCCTACGAGGAAGAAGACATCTCAGACCATTAGTAGGTAGAAGAAATGTGCGTGTGAGGCAGAGGGGAAAGAGGCCTTGAGATTTTGCTTAATTTTTTTTTTTTTTTTTTGAAGTAGGGTCACGTTTTCACAGGTGAAAGAGGCCGCAGAGGCAGCGATAACCAACGAACCTCAGAGGCTGTGCCCAAGCAGTGTAGCTTAGTGGAAATTTCCAGCTGGGGACGCAAATATCGCACTGAAAAGTAAACAGTGATAACGGCAAAGTCCCGTGGCTGTTTGGGGACACCTTGCTGGCGCAGCCTGAGCTCCCAGGGCAGCACTGGAGCAGCTGCTGCTTCCCTTTGCCCTGCCCTGCCTGGCCCAGAGACGTCGGGACCCTGCCTTCATAAACAAAGACAATCAAACTTTGTTTTCCCTGCTCTCCCTTCTCTTGGTGCCCGCCATTGCAGGTGATTGCCGCCTGCGTGGGCTCCAGCTGTGGCTGCAGATGTGGTGCTACCGTGGAGGTCCCAGCTGCGCCTCACCGGTGCTTAACGTGGCTTTTAGCCTGGTCCTAGCCAACTCGACAACGGCAGCGTGATTCCAAGCCATGGGCACTACGCTATGGGGCTTTGGGTTGTGTGTGGGGACATGCCAGCCATCAAAACTGTTGCCACAAGACTTTTGCTGTTTGTAAGGCTTGCTGCAAACCATGGTGGAACTTGATCATGGTCTCAGTCTTAAACAGAGCAGTTTTGGGACTAAGTTTCCTGGAAAAAAGGAATAGTTTGCATTTCATTTCTGCTGGTTTCTGCCCAGGGAACTTATCACTGGTTCCCTGGAGATAAAATGTAGCTAGAATCTGGTTAAATCCTCTGTTGTGGGCTTTTCCTTGGGTGGGAGTCCGGCTTGGAAGTCTCAGATGTTTGCTTTCCACCTCTCAGAGGGAAGGAGCAGGCACAGGCTGAGTGTGATACGGAGGGATCTAATTAGGAAGAATTAAGGAAAGCAGAAATTTTGGTAGTCCTTGCTTAGAAGCCCCACCCTGACAGCTGATGCCTGTTGATGTTGCCCATTTGCTTCAGTGGATGGCTTTGGACCAAGAGAGTGGGCCTGGGAATGCACAGACCTGCTTGTCCCAGAGCTTTTTCATCTCCTTGGTGCTTTATCTCCTACTCTGGTGACGTGTGGGAGACGTGCTAGTTCCATGAGCTAGCAATGACGCAAACACGGGCTGTCAGAAGTGGTGACGTGCATCCTATTGGTACCGGTGAGGAATATGGGTTGGGTATCAAAAAATTGGACTTGCTCCAGAAAAAAACATTGACCGAGCATTACAACCAACTGGAGTTACCTTCTGTAGCTGTGGTTCTGCATCAGTTTGGACACTGATGGGTACAGTTCTGCCCTGCTCTCAAGAATGTCCCTCACTGAGCTGAAACTCTGAGCACTTTCTGGGAGACTTTTAATGTCTAAAGTACTTGGGATTTTAAAGGCTGGGAGGTCTTAGGTCATGACAGTGCTGCCGAGGATTCAAAAGGCACGTACTTACTACCACAGTGAACAGACTAGTCATCAGCAGCATGGCATCCCCCAAACCTGATGGCAACCATGCTTATTTCGAATCATAGAATCAACTAGGTTGGAAGGGACCTTTAAAATCAACTAGTCCAACCGTTAACCTAACTGATAAAAAAAACCCCAACAATCCATTACTAAGCCATGTCACTGAGCACTATGTCAACCCGTCTTTTAAGTCCCTCCAGGGATGGGGCCTCAACCCCTTCCCTGGGCAGCCCATTCCAAGGCTTAAGAACCCTTTCAGTGGAAAAAATTTTTCCTAATCTCCAATCTGAACCTCTCCTGGCACAACTTGAGGCTGTTTCCTCTTGTCCCATCACCTGTTGCTTTGGAGAAGAGGCCAACCACCCCTGGCTACACCCTCCTTTCAGGGAGTTGGAGAAAGCGAGAAGGTCTCCCCTCAGCCTCCTCTTCTCCAGGCTGAACACCCCCAGCTCCCTCAGCCTCTCCTCATAAGACTTGTGCTCCAGACCCCTCATCAGCTCTTGCCCTTCTCTGGAGCCGCCCCAGCCCCCCAGGTCCTTTTCTGCCAGGCAGCTCCAGCCACTCTGCCCCCAGCCTGTAGTGTCCATGGGTTTGGTGTGACCCAAGTGCAGGACCTGGCACTTGGCCTTCTTGAACTTCCCACTTCCAAGCTTGGATGAGAGGCAGGTACCTGGCTAACGTGCACGGGGCTCCTCGCCTGCCATGCAAGCAGCACAAGGGGACCCTCGTGCTGTCAGAGATGAACAGGTGTGACAAGCAGTGGATCAGAAAAATGCCAAATGCTTAAACAGCGCTTAAGATGCTGAGACATGATGAAGGGAGAGGGTTGAAGGGGAGTCTCAGGGCTGCCCCGGAGCTGCTGCGAGGTAAGGCTTCTTGAACTACCCTGGAGTGGAAGATCATCAATGGCCAGAGAGATCAAAGAGGGAGAAGGCAGTGAAGGAGGAGCTGCTCCAGGATGAAGTGATCCTGCTGGACAGGTCTTGTTGGAGATTGGATCCAACTCTCCGATCACTCAAGGTGCGCTGATTATGAGTTTATCTGTCTGGCCAGCCTGAGAAAAGCAGCAAGAAGGGAACCAGAGCAAACTAACTGTGGTATTTAGTGATATACCCAAACTCTCTCTTTGGGGAGATCCGCACCAGCACCCAGCAGCAAAGGCAGAACAACGCAACGCTTCCCCGGCAAGCGGTGCTGAGGTGGGCAGCACCCTCTGCTACTCTGGTATCTGTGCTTTGTGCAGATACAATTCTGGACGTGCTTCCACAAAGGTCCCTGGGACTAAACTTTCAACCTGTAGACAATCTGTGAAAGATCCAGGTCCTTTTGCTGCCAATCTGCTGCCTCTTTGAGATGACCTTTGAGATGACCATTGAACAACACAACACACTGCAGGCTAGCACAAAGCCAGAGCCCTTTCTCCAGGCTGGCTCTGGTGGGACACACATGTCTCAGGAGGGTGTGCTGAGAAAGGGAGAGCTGTGGCAGCACCAAAGTTTGTACTGAAGATGCCAAGTAGTCACACTGAAGGCAGCAGAAACTGGGATAAAATGGCATATGGAGCATGAGAAGCCTTTGTCTTGGGGGCTGGAGCAGCTGGATGATTTGTAGCTGGACGATTTGTAGCTGGACAACGAGCCTTCAAGAGGCTTGACTGCTTTCCACGGGTGACTCCTTCACAGCCTTCTCTCAGGGATGAGATCATGGGCGTGGGTGTCTTGGGGCAGAGCGAAACACTTGAGATCAAAGCAACAGGAAGATGCCCGAGATGCACTTGGAGCTGACAGGAGTCAGGGCTGCCCCATAGGGCTGGTCAGGCTGTGAGGGCAACCTGCGGAGTCCTTGGAGATGCCCCCAGCTGTGGGCAGGCTGTAGCTGAAGAGGCCCCGTGGATCAGAGCCCGTGTGCTGTCACCTCCAAAGGTGACAAAACAAGGTGCAAAGATGGATGCAGCATCCCAAGATGCAGAGCCACAGCAGCTGATGGATTTAATGTCAAACCTCTCTGTCTGTCATTTATTCCCAAGGGATGATGCCCCCAGCTGTGTCCCACTGCCTGCTCCTGGCAGGAGACGGGGTGGGGGGAGCTGCTTGGATTTCAATCACTGCGGATTCCCCTCCGTTTTCTCCCTCTGAGGATGACCTGCTTCTCCCTGACCTGTGCCCCTTCCCTGTCCAGCACAAAGCTGGGATGGTTCTGTGGTGGGGAGGTGCTTGCTGAGCTGTGCGGGGTCTCAGCTGACCTCCGGGTGCTGTGGGAGGTGGCCGAGGCTGGGTTCTCTGGGCAGATAAGTGGCAGAAAATGACTTCATTGATTTGCCAGGGTATCAATATACACAACCAGTACAGCGGTGATAGATTGGTTCCTCTCAGCAGTGATTGGAGCCATTTTCTTCACTTAGATCACAATAAATGAGAGAACAGGGACAACGGTCTGCAGGAGGCTCAGGAGAAGATAAGGTGGAGCAGCAAGGGCACAATGGCACTGCCTGCCTGTGTCAGTCCCCAACCCACCCGTGAAGTGGCTGAGTTAGGAAATCCCCCTGCTCCGTGTTCAGCAGCAGGGTCTGCAGCGCCCCAGAGGCTGCAGGTGCCTGGGAAAAGGCTGTCCTCCCACCAAACGACCTACCCTCAGCGAGAAGGATCTGCCACGAAGTCAAGCCTTGCCCTTCTCTGCTCCTCGTC